AGAACAGGTCTGTTGGGAACAGCAGACATGTATGATTGACCAAGCTTGTGGTTGCTCCGGGAGCAGACCACGCTGCGAACGAGCTTAGGCCAGGGTATGTAAAAGATGGCCAGCAATTCACATGTGTATTGTGCAGTGAGATGTCGTTTGAAGGAATGCGCGGAATCCTTATTGCTATACCCTCCTCCCTCCCCCCGTCCCCGCCGGCCTCACTAGGACCCAGTGGGGGTGTGGCGCATTCATTCCAGCATGTAATTATCGGGCGAACGGCTTGTTCTTCCGTTGAAGCTGTCGAAATGCTGTGCAAGCTGCAGGCAAGCTTGAAAGCGGCGCCTCTACCTGCACCGTCAGCAAGTTCAGGCACGCTTTCCGAGAACACGCAGGGAGTGCCCTCTGATACGCAGTCATACGCAGTATTACGCAGTCCAATCTTGCCATTCTTCTTCTGGCCAGGCGAAGCATCTGCTTCTGTCCCGCAAGCTGCTGAAGCTGAAGAAGCTTCCGGCCAAGATTCTCGGCTGAGAACCTGTGGAAAGTCTCATATCGCTCCAATTCGCAGCCAAGCCTGCTAGATATCTGCTGGTCAAGAGTTTGTCGAGAGGGGAATTCGTCCAATACTGAGAACGAATTGATCTTGGAAGGTTCAGTTTTTGGCTAATCATCTTCGTTTTGTTCTCACTGGGAGGATCTACTGCTCTTTGTTGCCACTTGCCCTTGGCGTGAAAGTGTCGCGAAATTCTGTCTGGCGACGGACCCCCTCTCCGCATTCGATGCTCCGCCCAGAGTGTACCCGAGCCAGACACGGAGGAGAACAGCATTAGATCGCTTTGACGCAGCGGCTCACCCACACGGGGCCTCGAAATCGGCGACCCCCTTGGTGACTCCTGTGGGCCCGGGCGCCCTCGCCTAGACACCATGTGAAGTTGATTCGATGACCCTCTCGGTGTTTCCGCGTGCCCGCGACGCTCCGGCCTAGGCGCTGCGCGCGTTTCAGGACCCAAGAGGCTTGAAGTGGTCTTCAGAGTCTTGGAGTGCTGGAGGGCGTTTCGCGTTTTAGAAGTTTATGTTGGGGTTCAGGCCCTCAGGTGCTCGTGGGGCCTTTAGCACTTGCAAAATGTGCGTGGCAGCACGGGCTCTGATGGCACCATGCAATAATTGCTTAACATGTCGGTCATGCTAAACATACTATTGATCATGCCCAGTGCTTGCCGCAGCAAGGAAGACGGCAATGCACCAGCTGTAGGTCTGGCAGGACTGCGCAATCGCCTACAGCACATGCTGTCGCGCTGTGTCGCTCTTTGTTGAATCAAGCCGCCACGCCAGCTTGACTTGCAGGAACCAATTGGCACGACGTGGATCTAAATGCTGGCTTGGATGACAGTGCCATGCTGAAGCAGATCAGCTTCATGAGCAACGAGGAGCGGGTGGTGTGGCGAGCGAGTAAGATCTTCCAGCAGTCGGTGAAGCCCTGCTGCAGCTGCACCTGCTCCAAGGCTTTGCCATACGATCAGGGTATTTATTTTGCTTTTTGCATGGCATGCGGCAAACTCGGCAGTTCCTTGCCTGATTCGGCAATGGTCTGCGTGTTTGGTTGATGCGCGCATTGTGTTGGACATGCCAATGACAGACAATGATGGCAATGTATGGCCATGACACCTAAATGGTCTTGTTGAAGGACTTTGCGCATGTCAGGAGTCGAGACACAGCCAGTACAGCCAGCTCTCCATGAACTCGCGTTCTCCAGGCGGCCGCATCGACGGTTCCAATCCCAGAGATTTGCTGGCCGCTGCCTTCCAGTGGTTTTGAGCGCTTGCCTAGCATCACAGGTAAACTCATGCAACAACGATGATGTGTCAGACAAGGCAGTCAGGCAGCAGCTGCCAGGGATGTGTACCACGAGGCGCAAAGTCGGTGCAATGAAATTAGACTGAGCTCGGTAGTGACAATGCGAAGTAATCATGAGGCCCGTGGACCAGGCAATACACATACAACCACTCATGAAAGCATGAAGACAGCCTGTACTGGTAGGAATCAATGAAACTACAGGAGCATTCTTGGACAAGCTGGATTCCAGGGCTATAAAACGAACAAAGTTTCTGTCGTGTGAAGGTTGTGGTATGTTGAGATGGACGGCGATGAAGATCAATGAAAATCATGTAGCGCCCTCAAATCGATTGTCTCTGCAGGACTCTCAGAGCAGTGCGGGCCACTCGGTGCCGGGCTTTGTACAAACTCGCCATGTGGAGTGCTTTGCCGCCTGCGCAGATGTGTTGTTTCTGGTGCTCTGAAGTGATGCAGTGCCAAACCATCATGAACATGGACTCTTGGGTGGCTACTGCCTCCAAGGACGATGACCTGCCTGTGTTTGGTGCCTTGCCGTCTGCACGTCCACCAGCGGACGAGGCAAACGGCCAGCATCGGGAATCGCCGAAATCGCCGAGATCTCCTCCCTCCCGACTTTACAGTTGTCTTCTTTGCCTGTGGTCTGCGGGGGTTGCAATGTGTTGCATGTCCATTCCAGAGCCTGATCTCCATGAAGTTGTTGAAGCACTTGATAGTCCCTGCGCGCAGCCCTTGCCATCGTTTGGACCTGGACCACCCCGGCCTTGGAGCCCTGGTCGGCCCTACTCAGGCTCCTGGAACTGTTTGGGTTTTTGCCAGAGCTTGTTGATTTCGAATATTTTCGAATACTGTGTCATTTGCAGGCAGCCGGCTGGAACTGGATGAGGACCTTTGCCCAGGGCCAAAAAGCCTCCAGGATCTGTTGAATCGCTGTTAGGCAGAAAGCCCGTAACTCTCACAGGGAGTTGCACCCCAGTCTGGTTCCCGAACAACAGTCGAGGTCCGAAGCTCCTTGAATTTCCACGGACAAGGGGTTCATACCCAGGTATGCAATCCTAAGAACTACTTATATTACAACCAAACCCAGCCAGTTCAATTTGTAGGACGACGGCTCGCTGGCTGCAGACAGTGATGGCCTCCTAGATTTGGATCACTTGTCGTGAGCCTCTTGGTGGCTCGTGGCAAGTGTCAAGCAGCCGAAGTAACGGCCAGCCAGACAGAGAACTTACCCCATTCTGCCCCCTCTCTTGATTCGCCGCAAAGCGCTCGCATTTTTCTGCGGTGGGGTCGGTTCTGTTCCCTGCTTTTGAAGCTAATGACCGCGCTTCTTTCAGAAGAACATCGTGCAGGCACCATGCCACGTTACATAACTGACTCATGGTGGAACTTCGTGCAGAGTGAGAAAAGCAGTATGTAGGGCTTCTGCAGACCACATAAAATCGAGTTCTGCTGCAAGAAGAATGAATGCCAAGGCAGTCTCACCCCTGTGCCAAGCTGGCATGCCTCGCGGACTTGCAGTGTCCTGTAGTGTCCTGTAGTGTCATAGAATCGTGGGTGCAGGATGTGACCTCAGGTAGCTTGTGGTCTCCGGAAGGACGTGCAGCCCGTGCTCTGCAGCACCAAATCATGGACTGTGGAGATGCAAGTGGGAAAAGCTGCTGCTGGTCGCTGGAGCTCTTCACTGCAATCTGACAATCTGACACTCATCCTGCGGTTCTTGGCGCAGGGGCGTATCGTGTGCTTGAATGGTGCCTGAGACGTGGAGCTTTGCATGAGTCCCAGGCAGCCAAAAGTTGGTTGCCTTCGGCATTCAGCGTTGCAGTGCAGGTCTTGTGGCCCATGACCCATGGCTTTTACGAGGGAGCTCGTCATCTGCCGAAGTTGCAGAGGCAGAGGCTCCATCGTCCTAGAATCCTAGGTCCTAGATCCTACGTTTAGTAAGGGCAAAACACTTTTCAGTGGAGTTTTTTGGCAAGAGTTCTGTGTTTCACGGATGCATGGGCAAGCCATGTTCATCTGTTTCACCGAGCGGACCAGCAAAAGGCTGTGCGTATCAACGCTTTAAGACTAAAGTACATCTGCACACATGCAAGCATAGACACACGATGAATCGTAGGAATAGCCAATAGTTGACTGGGATTTTGCTAGAGAGCATTGATCAGCGAAAAATGTGGAAAGCAGTGGCAGGGCCCTGCAACTCTTTAGTCGTTGCCCGGCCGGATCTGACTTTTCAATTGCTCCTGTGCGGCAATGCCGCCCTGTGCTTACCTAAATGCCGGCTATCAGTGGCACATAGTGGCACTCTCACCGAGCCAGGCAACATGGATCAGCGGCGTGAGATACACGTATATAAGCCAAGTTGCAAGCATCCAGATCACACAGAGGAGGTTTTGCTAGCGTGGGATCGGAATCACCCCTCCGCCCCATATTTTGGAGTGCCCAGTGTTCCTTTATTTTCTCTTATTCTGTTGACAAGTTCTATGCCGAAGAAACCGCACAATGCTGCACATTTCCTTCCCGTGGCCTGGAGGATTTGTGGTACATTTGCTCAGTAAGGCAGCGCTGCCTGCTTAGAAGCAAAATTGAGCGATCGTAGCATCTTGCGGCTTGCATTACACTTCAGTTGGTCTGGGGGGGTTCTTTCACTGCAGGATGGGACCCATGATGGGCCTGGGAGTCAGCGGCAGCATCGCATTTTCCTTCGCCTGGCTTGGCTCCACTGATAGCATTGCGGAGCACATTTACTGTAGGTGCGCGGTGCAGCGCTCAGAAGGCACCGATCTCCAGGATGTTCTCCTTTGTTTTTCTGCGTGGCGGGTGCTTGTGCGATTGTGCGATATGCACCTTGAGCCAAATGGCTCAGTGCATGAAGCAGGTGCGAAGATGGCTGCCGCTCCGATGGACTTGGAAGTGGCCGGGCACTCAGCCTTGGCATTCTTGGACTGTCGCACAATGCGCGCTGTTATGGGCTGCGGCTGTGGGTGCCTTTGATGGTCCTCGCAACTGATCCTTGCAGTGCTAGGCCAGGTCGGGACGGCCTTGGTGAAAGTGGATATTTAGGACGTATTGGCTGACAAGCGTTGCGCCACAGCTGAAAGCTCTGAGTGTTGTGTTGTGTTGTGTTGTGTTGTGTTGTCGTGTTTAGGGAATGACCGTAGATGCGCACCCTTGTTCGCTCTGCATTTCTGCTCGAGCACAGCCACAGCAGCACCAGCAGATTCGACCTCAGCTTTGAGGACTGCTGTCTGCAAGGTCAAGCAGCTTTCTTAAGATGTCATTTTCTTTCATTCAGGCATGAGAGCCCCAGTTGGAATTTTTGCATGGATGTTTGCATGACACTTGAGTAAGCCGAGCTCTGTTTGGAATTGCAAGAGCTATCAGGGAACCCTCTACATGTCTGATCGTGTGATTTCCGAGGTATTGCCTGTATCATTCTGCAGGACGTTTCATAAACATTTTCGATTTCCTCATGTACTTCTTTTTTGCAATGGGCCTCTCAAATACATGACTGATAGATTTTCAAGTCAGTTTGCGTCTAGAGTAACGGGGTTGGTGAAAGTACCTCTACATCGATGACGTTCTTCTGCACTCAAATGTTTGGCGTCGTGCAGTAGAGTGAGGCGGGGAATCCGAATGCAGCATGGTAGGATTTAGATGCAGATTCTACGGACGACAGGGACCATATATGCCTGGTTGTCACAAGATATATATATATATATATGTATAATATGTATCGTACATATGCATGTGTCGATACTTAACGAGGGGCAACATCATATGAGGCAATACAGCAACTGCTTAGCAGCTTGCTTTCTTTCGTTGCCCCTCCTTCTGAGCCCCTGACACACAAACGGTACCTGCGCGAGACCACACGGCTCCCCATGACTCAAACCCGTGATTGCGTGCTGGCTCCTTGTAATCGTATTCTTGCGTGACGCTCGACGATTTCGTAACCTCTCTGCATTTGCAAGTTCAGCAGCTGGTTTGTCACGCAATTCCATTTGTTCGATCTTTGATTGACCTATGATGTCCAGCCGCTGAAAGAAATAGCAAAGACGGCTGCTTGAAACATGAGAGAGTGAGACTACGTCAGCTTGCGAGCTGGGACATGGCGACTTGGTTCTTTGTCGGTTCACTTCACTTGAAAAAGCCCTCACATGCAAATCCAAAAAGCAGGCACATGCCCTTCGGCCCGTCTTTTTTCAGAACAAAGACCAGTCACCGAAGATGTGAAATCTCAGGCCAGCTGCGTCATGGGCACTTCTTGCGCAAAGCCGGATGTCGTTAGCGAAGTCGATGCTGGAGACACTTTGAGTCTACGGGAGGTTACGTGGTAAACGGTTTTGAAGTATGGGCCCTTGGGATTTAAAGGGTATATACGGGGTATGTAAGGGTTCTCCAATCAAGGGCCCACATGAAGGGACCATGTGCTACCCTCAGATTGAATCACTTTGATCAACACGGTTCTTCGGTGTTCGGATTGATCGTCTAGGCATTCGGTTTCAGTGCCAGTGTCGACGATAAGGATGCCCCGTACCGCAGCAAGTACCTGGACAACATCATGTGTCTCGGACGGGTTGGGGTGTTGCATTGCGGATTCCATCGGGAACAGCCATTAGGCGTCCCATGACACTGGCGCATTCTATCTGACTGAGAGAAAGTTTGAGAACTTCTGGTTGAAGCAGCAGGAAGATGTGCTTTCAGATCCAATTCGGTAGCGGAGTAGGAAGGGGTGGGCCGGGAGCGTCAGGATGGTGATCGTTTATCATTTGCCACTAGAAGCGAGTGCTGTATTGCAGGCTCAGAGCTCACATTGTCCTTGTCCAACAAAATTGTTGCAGCTGCAAGGCTTCTCAGCGACTCCTACAAGACCTCTCACTGGCGCCAGTACCCTCCGAACACCACGGAGGTCTACTCGTAGCATGACTGCAGTGCTTGAATTCATTTGGACGGTCCGTGACCTGCGTTTCCTGCTGCCTCGTCTTCTGTCTGATGGTGGCCTCGCTGTACGTTGGCTTTCGCTGTCTATTGGATATTGCATCTGGCATCATGCAAGATGCCTTGTTGCCATCCGAACTGGTTTGGTGTTGCCAATCAAAACTGTGCGGAGGAAGTCCACTCCAAGCTTGGAATTTGTGCTAAATTCTTCCATGAGACTTTGGGAATGGGAACTCTCCAGGAGCTACAGCGCAGTCAGGATTCAATTCTGGCCCAATGGGAGCTGAAGGGAAGTCGGCCCAATGGACCTTTCGCACTCATCAGGGCAGTAGGATGATGCAGGCTGTGAGCCCGGATACTGTAGATGAATGTAGATGGAGGCTTGGGAGGAAACCACGAGTCCCTTCTAGACCGCTGAGGCTTGTGCCGCTTTCAATTTTTCGCATTCCTGCGCGTGCATGCATGTACGACAGTGTACGAGGTATTTTGAGAGTCGTGGCGGAAAGTTCGACGAAGTGGTTTTCTTCGGGCTTCAGTACTTCCTGAAGCGATACCTCCAGGGCAAGGCAGTGGAACCAGTGGAACCCTTCTTATGCCGCGTTGCATTGGTACAGTTGGTACAGTCTCTTATGCAGTTGTCTTGTGTGGATGGTGCGGTCTGTAGGGCTTGGGGTCGACATGTTCACAGGTTGTGACTCGCGAGCGGATTGACGCTGCAGAGCGAATTGTAAATGGGCATATGGGTCTTGGCGAGATGAAGCACTTCAATCGATCCATGGCTGCAATTAGAAAGTTCGTGGATTCTCATACATTGGCATCCGCTTTGAGATGGTTTCCTCTGTGCACAAGCAACGACACACGAACATATGTTTTTGCGTAGAGTTAAGAATTGTATGTATAGATATATCTATATCTTTATGGAGGGAGTGCGGTCTGAGGGTCTTGAGGCGCTTGGGCAGGGTTTGGGCCAGGGTTAAGGGCTTAGCTAGGGACCCACAGCCCTCAAGCCCTAAGCCCAAACCCTACCTAAACTCGAATTGCAACCCTCTAAGAACTGAAACCCTTTCAGCTTTGTAAATTATTAAGCCCTGAGCCCGGAAACCCTAAAAGACGACGCCAGAGCTCTAAACCAGAAGCCTTAAACCCTAAAGCCGAAAACCCACAGCCACACCGCATGGGGAGGTACCTAGATCATGACCGTAAAGCCCTAAGCCCTACGTGCCACACCCGGGGCGGCGGGAGGGGAAACGGGAGAAACCCGCACCCCAAAAACCCTAAAGCCTTTTTCAAAGTTTCGTAATTGATCTACAGAAAAATGGCGCCTCTAACATAAATACGACTTTCTTCCATTCAATGAATATAATATAACCCTCTTCCTGCAACAGTTCCCCCAGGTTGGTTAAAGACCGTAAACGGCCTGACTGATTTGCTACTCTAGATGTACCAGTTTTGCTTCACCGAATCGAAGCTTGAAGCCTGCAAATTCCCGTACAGCTCATAACCAACCCATCCTTCTCTGAGAACCACTGGGTGGAGGTGTCCAGAATTGGCTTTTGGCATTTTTAGGGAGGTTCTCCAAGCACATCCAAGCACCATACAGCACTTTGAAGGCCTCGAGGGTTCAAAGTGCCGTACTGTCCCTAAATTCCCAATCCATAGTACTGGCTCAATCTCTACTCTCTTGATGAAGATGTATTTAGCACACTTGACAGGCATGGGATTAGCATGCGTGTATGTATATATATATATCTCTCTCTTCATATATTCAGTATATTTCGATACATGTACACGTATACATACATGTATATACATATGTTCATATACACATATACGTATATGTTTCTCTAAGTCAGTTTTCGGCGTTGCCCTTCGCATCTGCAAGGCGAAGGTTGGGAGTACATTCTTCGCGCACACGATGGCCGGCTGCCGGTTGTCATCAAGGACTGATGTTTAAGGAGAAGCTACTGCTTCACAGATCTCTTCAAATTCTGCTGACCGGCCTTCTGCAGGCTGCACCAGAGGGTATGGTGGTCCCTGTAAAGAACGTGCTGATGACTGCCCCTTGTCTGGACAGATTGAGCTTAGCAGCGACCAGGTGTGGAACTATTCTGGGGGCTAGAGCCAGGTGAGATGACACAAGAGCAAATGCTTGCCCTGGCAAAAGTAGCAGCGGAGCAAGAGAAAGAACAGAAGAATCCCTTGAATGCAAGTAAGATCATTGCTTCATGGTATCCGCGAGGGAGCTTTGCCTGTCTGCCTTCTGAGGTTTCACGCAGCGCATGAGCTCCATTCAAAGCAGTTTTCACAGCCCATACTAGTGTGAACCTGTTGACGTGACAGTTGCATTCGTGAAATGGTAGCATTCAACCAAATGCTAAACTTCGCACGCATGCAATAAGAAACGCAGCCACAGCTTTTATTTCGGATGGCATGACACGTCGTTCCAGGGCCACTGTCAAACTTCGATGTGTGAAGGTGATCGCCCGCTCTTCTCAAACCTTTGTAGATCCAAATGGCCCCCGGAGATCCCAAGCTCAAGTGCACGAGATGCATAAAGCAAGTGACGCAAGTCGAAGCACATCGAAGCACATCGAAGCACACTTCAAGCCTTCAACGGCGGATGTAGAACTTCGCCTCCGAGGTTGTAAACACCGACCCGAAATGTGCCTTGGTCACACCAGGCAATGCTTCCACTTGCGTCACTCCGTTGAGCCGAGGCTTCTGGCTGACCAACTACCTGGAGACTTTACTGGTTCAGGTTTGGTATCCCATGACCGTTGCAACTCAGTCCCGTGCGCAGAAGAAGGCCTTCTGCTCGCAGCTTGCAAGATTTCATGCGCTCACGTATAAGCTCCGGGATCTGTGTACTCTGCACGTTCAACACGCTTGCAACCTGACTTCGACTTGTGCGTGAACTCTAAGCACAGCCCGCAGGTGATCATGGATTCGCTCATCAAGACTGGCTCCTTGCCGGTCACCATTACCATCAGGTCGGTTTTTTGTCGATGATCATCGCAAAGCATCTAAGGCACTGACCTGAAGAACATGCCCAACAAGCTTCCTGTCCCGTTGAAGATGATTACTGTGGGCTACCAGCTCAACGACTTTGGTTGCCGAGGTGAGCCCTTGCGTCCATCAGTGGGTGTGTGAGTGCATGTGCTAATGTTTGCTAAGAATCGAACTGTTGACTTTGGGCGGCAGGTGTTTCCTCCATGGAGACAGCATCCATCGGAGGCGCTGCGCATTTGGTCAACTTCTGCGGAAGCGACACCATGCCAGGCTCCGTGTGGTAGTGCAGATGTGAGTTCGGCGCAGCAGCCGAACGCGTTTGGCAGCCATGACACTGCTCACATTGACAGTGAAACCTGAAACCTGACAGCAATCTGATCAGCAAGCAGGCCTCTGCACGGCCATCGACTACTACAACTTGCCGCTGGAACAGTGCGCAGGAACCTCTGTTCCTTTGATTGTGGTTGCCTGTTGCTTGTCATAGGACATCTCTGCGCACCTGGTTCAATGCTTAAACATATCCCACGCTCCTGTGGCAAGACGGACTCTGGCAAACACAAGACATTGTTGAGGCACACCAGGCAAGGTCAGATGCAGGACACTGGGCATTCAGGATTACACCAGACAATGCAGAGACCCTGCCTGCAAAAATAGATGCACCTGCACAAATGGGTGTAGTGAGGAAGAGGCCTCAGGTAATGGAGCACCAGGTGATGACAAACTCAAAATCTTAGCCTCATTGAGGACACGCCCTCAATGTTGGGCATTGAGGGTCCAAGGTCAGCCGATACTGTGAGAGCACTTGGAGAGCGTCTCCAATGACCTTTGCCGGTGCGAGAGGGCCAAGACCAACAACATAGTCGGCATAGCCCGGAAACAAGAGCTTAAGGACCGCATGATCCATTACACAGCGCTCTTGAGCTTTTGCTCGGGGCTATGTTCTGAACCTCTCTTTAAATTTAGCGTTGCAGACTGTAGTCACTGATTCGTCTTTAGTAGTAACTGTCATCGACCTGTTCAATAGCAAGATCTCTTCAGCAGAACACACCATCACCAAGTAGACCAAGTCAGGTGGGCACCTCGGTTCCTGCTGCAGAACACTCCACCATCACCAGCTGGACCAAGTCAGGCAATCAGTCAGCCAATGGTCATGGAGAGTTGTTCGTTCCAAAGCTCCACAAACTCTAGCATGTCCAGGTGAAAAGAATGCCTTCGAGAACATGCTCAAGCAGTACCCTGAAGGCATCGTCGCGGTGGTTTCCGACTCATATGCTGGGTGCTTAAACAACTTGGTTTGACCTGCAATCTGAGTCAAACTTCTGAATCTGCGGGCAACTTCACTTTTGTCATTAATGGCTTGATGTCATGTGGTGAATGAATTGAGGGTATGCAAGCTGTAGAAGTCAGACGGCTGCCAAGCTGCCAAGGACATCTTCAATGCCTGTGAAAAGTTGTGGGGGACAGAACTGCGGCTTTGTTGCATTACTTTGCACAGTTTTTCCATTTCGAGTTGAAAATGGGCGGGGCTTCGTCGCTCCAAGGAAAGACCTGATCGCGTCTCGGGCTCCACCGGGCCGTCTCGTTGTCCGACCTGACTCAGGCTCATGAAATCTAGTGAAGTCTTTAGTTGTCCTGCATGGGTTGTCAGGGATTTTTCTGGTGGTCTTCGTGGGTTCCTAGTGGCGCGCGCAAGCTGCGGTGCAAAGCTGGGCCCCTCTATAGAGGCACTCGCAGCTCAACATGAATTGTTGTGCCCATCCGGGAGGCGATCCCAAGACGATCGTCGTGGAGGTTCTGGAGCGACTTGCGAAGTGCCTCGAATGACCTGGAGGCCTTTCTTTGAGGCATGTGCTGCTTTGACCCAAAGGCCGGGGTAGCTGGGATTCTTCAGTCGCATTGTCGGGTACTTTGGTGGTTTGAGTTTGCAGATTCAGGCATTTCAGGGTGGCGAAGCAGTGCCCATAGCCAAAGCAGCAGCATAGTTGTGCGGTGACTTTCCCGCTATAAAGCATGTGGTTCTCTCTGATTCTCTCTCTCTCTCTCTGCATGTTGATCTCTTATCATTGCTTTGATGTCATTTTGCTGTGGCTGAGTCTACTCGGAGTCTCTCAGGCACTTCCCGGTCAAGACCAACGATGCCGGCTTCAAGGCGCACCCTTCCCCCCCCCTCTTCCCCTTCCCCCTTGACAAGACTGTGTCGACATATTACTCGACCATGGTGCGACCCCTTCGTACGGCGAGAAAGAAGCAGACCGCTCTCTTCCCAAATGCTCGCAAACTCTGCTGAAAAGCGTTTCGCGTAGTTGTGAGAGCACTATGCCTATGCTGAGCGCAAACTCAGTTTTGTTTTTTCACTCTACCCATGCTTTTCAGGGCGCTCATGATCCCTTTCGTTTCTTCATTGGCTTCGGGGTCGTGCCATCGGTGAAGCCGGTGTGTTGTCGTACTGGCGTGTCTTTGTGTGTCTTTACGTGCGCATGTGGGCGCGTGGGCATCGTTGTTAGTACGCTCGACCCATACATAAGAATCATTGCCGGAGCTTCTCATTCAAAGCGAGCTACGGGCCCATGGTACAGGTAGCACTTAACAAAGCTATACACTACAGGGGACGCAGAGATTGACCACCGCGCGATGCGAGCGCACACGCTCTTGCGTCGCCTACGAGCGAACTTCGGTAGCATGGGTGTGACACGAGGGCTGAGTCCTCAATATTCCTCAAAGAGGTTACACTCACGATTCCCATCGGCGCACACTTTGATGCAGCATGAGACGTCCAGCTGATGCGATCATAGTGCTGCAGCAGGCGGAGTGCAAGCATTCCCTGGTACTTCTTCAAGCAATTTCGAAACCAAAGGTTTCCAGTTTCAAAAGAAACCATTGTCCCGAGAAATCGTTCGAAGTTCATGGCCAGTTCCGCACTCCGTGTTGGGACAAGGGCATGTGCATTTGGAGAAATGTTAATCAACACCCACTGTTTGGGGAAGGAAAAGCAACGCTGGGTCTGGGATCGGGCCTGCTGGATAGGTACTGCCATCCTACATCCGCGTCATTCAGGGTGATGGAATCTCCTATGAATCTCTGCAAGAGATCTTGTCCAACCTTGAGGCTGTCGGGCTGCATTTGCACTTGCTATTGTCCGGAATGGTGTCTTGCCACGTGCTGCGACTGTTTCGGCTGTTAATGAAAGCAGCAAGATTGTGTGTTGGCGCGTGTCTGTCTGTATAGACTGTGTAGTCTAGTGATGGTTACACATTCGTGCATCCTTCAATTACATGGTGTCTGCGATTGATGCGCATTTGTAGCAGAGATCCTCTCAACAATGAGTCCGGTTGATAACGGCATGTCCGGAAATACGAAGTTGAAAGAGCTTTTGCTGAAAGTTTGAGCGGTCTTGAATATTTGTGCACACCGTGCTCAAGCTGAGGCTAAGAAATGGGCGGCGGAGAATGTTTGCTTTGGCTCAGGCCTGCACGATCCTTCACGCTCGCAGCTCATACTTGCACTTGAGGAAGCGGAAGCATGTTGCAATGTATCATCCACCTTCCGACTCAACACTGTCAGGCGGAGCTTTGCTGCAAAAGATGGACCGCGACACGCAGAAGTGCGCATTCAAGTGCTGCAACGTGGCTGCAGCCACAATACACGGTCTGGACATGTCTAGACTATTCTGTGAGGGACTCACGAGTGTGAGGCTTCAAGCATTCAACTTGCAGAAAACAGGCGGTTGCGCATCCGAACTTAGGCGAAGCTGTGGTTGATGGAGTACCCAGGCAAACAACCGTGTAATGACTTAGACAGGTGAAAGAACCATTGAAAGCACAAAGAGCATCTCGCTGCGCAGGGCTGTCTTCAAGGATCCCGTCACCGACCAAGGCCACTGACTGTGGGAAGAGCCTCAAAGGGTCACAGAAAGATTTCAACAAGCTTCAGATGTTGCAAAATGTTGCGCAAAAGGATTGGCGAGGTTTCAAAATGTTTATGTATTCGTGACAGGCAAGAAGTCCAAGCAGGGCAGGCTGAAGCTGGTCAAGCGCCGCAGCCTCAGCAGATCAGCAGCCTCTCTTCGAGCCCTACACGTCTACATCTTGCTTTCTTGCTTCCTTTCTCTTTCCTTCTCATAGATACACATTTTCGTGTAGGCATTGTTTTTGTTTGTCCCGTGAGTATGTCGAGTTTTCCAGGTGAAGGAAAGCTGACCACTCTGACCGACGGCCAGGGCGATGAGGCAGAGGATCTTCTGGTCGAAGTCTTCCGCAATGGTGCCTTGACGAAATATCAGAACGGCTCCGTGGCTCTGGGGTAAACGCGAGCAAGTAGAAACTTTGTATGACAGCGACGCTGCACAATACTGAGTCCCAGATTCCTGAAAGTGGGCAACTGAGTCACTACACTACCCCGGACCACTTTAATGGAGCAAAAAACGTTGTTGGAGTTCTAACGAAAGACAATCACTCCTGTTTCCCCCTGAGTGGATTGCATCCGAGGTGAGATCACGAAGACCTTCACATTCCAGGAGGTTCGTGGGCAGTCGGAGGCCCGTTGCATGTAACCCGTTTTGTTAGCGTTGGCTGACAAATTCTGCTCGTGCAGGCTGGCATGGTGACTCCGATCTTCGACGTGTCCGCGTGATGGCGTGAAGATCCATGAAGATCCATGAAGATCCATCAAGATCCAGCAAGATCCATGAGGGCAAGGCCATCCTCAATAATTAGCAAGTGCAGAGGCAGTCCGAAGCGACGCGACCTCTGACACCTTGCCGTTGAGGATATGTGTTCGAACCTGCGAGCCTCAGGGGTTCAGTGCTCCTGGAGATTCGTAGGCCGATGTACTTTTGGAAATTTGTTCTCGAAGCTCATCTTAGCCGCTCCTGCTCTAAGAGCATGACGTTCTCTAGCAGCTAGCACTCTTGTGCAAAGAGCGCTTACTTTGCCATGAGCTTTTGTTTTCCGCCTGCTAGGAAAGGACTGCTTGGCATTGCTTGCCTCAATGCACATGTTCTTGGATATGCTGTGTTCATGTTCAATCGGCGCGAGCTCGCATGCAGTAGCCATCGAATATTGGATAAGGAGCGCAGCAATCTAGAATGTGCCCGCCCCGGCCCACCCCCTTGGTTTGGCCAAGCAGATTCAGAAGTCCAAGCCACATCCAAAGCTGAGATAAGCTGAGATAAGCTGAGCAAGCGCGAAGCTGAGATGATCTGAGATGTCCATTGAGCACTTAGGACCTTGGCCCGATGCCAACGAACGAGTGCAACGAGGGCTTACTGCATGGCTTTGCACCCAGAAAGTCTTAGAAAGTGGATGCAGTGGATGCCGTTGTATTTCACATTATTTCACTGTTTGAGTTGATGTTTGTGACGTCGCCGGTGGGTGACTTTGCACACTGCGGACTTTTGTTGGCCAGCAGAACTAGTCCATCCAAAGCACAGCTCGAGAAACTTGGCCTTAAGCCTTAAGCTTTGGCTTTCTGTAAGCATGATCGCTGGGCTCGCTGTTGCTGTTTTCCACTACTCTGCTTACCAAAGGCCTCCGTGAGCTGCTGACCAGCAGGGAGCTGTGCGACGTTGCCCTGGTTGCAGCAGGTCGGAGGGCTAGCAGAACGTACACAATCGTGCTCTCATTACCTCTCACATTGTGTTGGCACGCGTGCAGTGGCAGATGGTAGTGGAAGGGCCTCTCCGTAGTCTCTGCTGTGAACTGCATGCTGAAGACTACCATGTTGATCGTGCGTGGCAAAAATTGCAGGTGGGGAGGCTTTCCCAGCCCACCGCACTGCGCGCTAGCCGAGTCAGCCACCGGTGGTCTTGCATTCCGTAGAAGTAAACTCCAGTGCTGCTGAGGTCCTGGCTGCATGCAGCCCGGCACTGCGGGCACATGTCTCCAAGCTCAACTCTGCATCTCTTCAGGCTGCACAGCTCAGCCGAAAGAATCCAGCTCTTGCCGATACTTGATAGGCAGACGGGCTGCCAGTGATAGCCTTGGACGTGAAACACTGCGAGGCCAGGTTGTTTTCGTTGTGCAATGACCCGAGGTCATCTGGGTCTCGTCATGCTGGGTGTTGGCTGAAAATCGAAGGGCCAAACAGAGTCTTGACCGTCTTACAGTGTAGCCCGGCGAAACGTTCCTTGAGCTTTCGATACTGGCTGCTCAGATGATGGCTAGAAGCCAGTGGGCAATGAGGGTGGCCTGAAACGTAACCGCCCCAAATTTTCCCTGATCATGCTTGTCACTCGAGGCAGTCCAGGCTCTTGTAGACTCTGCCACACACCGAGACGTTGGTTTGATGCTCCTGTTTGTCAAGTCTGCATGAAGAGCACCTACTGCACCGAACATTTCAGGTCTATGGAATTGGCATGGCAGAGTCTGACAGGCTCGAAATTTGCAATGGTATACTGATAATCGCTCAGTTGTGCATCTGTGGAGACCCTGCCCTGCGCTGGGGCATTCATAGGCTCAGGGGGGGGACTTGTGCCGACTCCTTCTAGTTTGTAGTGATCAGCATAATAGATTGGATATATTGGATAGAGGTCTCCATACGTACGACAGTGGACAGCATGACACGCCAGGCAGTACAATCCCAGCTCAGAGGCGCAGCTGCATTTTTTAAGCATAAATAAAGGCCGCAGTCGATTGAGCAATGCTGGTCGGTACTTGTTGGCCTGTGCCTGCAAGCACGGTACCTGCCTTCAGGACCCGACTTCAGAAACAAAGCTGTCACTGCAGGCTGCTAACATGGACGTGCTGAAGCTGGCACGTGAGTTTGATCTTCCAGCTTTGGAGGACCAGGCATGCCAGATGCGCTTTTGAATTGAGGGGTGTTAATTCGGCGGCTGATGGGACTGTTGGGTTTTGCTGGGTTGGAAACTGGAGTATTTTCAGCCCCACCCATCCAACTACACTTCACTGCGCCAATCCTTGGAGATGCCTGGAGTGGCTCGCAGCAGGGGGGCTCCCGAGTCAGCCTCCTTCAAGATGTTGTCGTTTACAACGGCCCATGGCTTCCTTTGGCTTGAGTTTGGCTGCATCATTGCTTTGGATCAGTGCCTTGCGCAGCGGAGCAGTGGTTTCCTGGCTTGAGAGTGGAGTCTTACTGATATTCACTGCCAAAATCCAGTCGTGAAATGCCTAAGGACAGTCTTTGTTTCCCTGCGGTGACCTCAGGTTTCTTCTGTGCTGCAAGCTGCAGCTTTAGTTGGCTGCTTCTGCTAAGCAAAGCCGGACTGTGCTGTCAATATCCAAGCCAGGATGGAGCCTTTTCTCGCAGAACCTGCTGCAGGCCACCGACAGGACTGCACAGCTTGGAGTTGTGGCTCTTCGTTTAGGACCAATGACATACCAATGACATACCAATGACATACCAATGACCAAGGAACAGGAAGTGCCACCGAAAGTGAATCACTCTATACTTCAAGACTCGATATAGGCCTGAGTTCTATCATCGTGCAGCGATTTGGTTCTGTTGCGTTGGCCGGTAGCAAGCTCGGTTTGACGACCTTACCCCTCCAGAACGGACTGGCTTGAGGTGGGCTGCTGCGGGGTGGACCCCCAGTAGAGGAGTTGGGGAGGTTGGTCGGCCTGGCTGGGCCTTCCTCCCGCGCCTCCAATAATTTGCGCGCGCTACTGGCGTGATAGCTCGCAACTGGCCAATGAGCTGGTGCTTGTCTGTACCGACTTGCTGCCCTCAGTGGGCGCGAGGTGTCCAGCCCTCCCAGGCCTTCTTGCATTTTTGTCCGCCACCCTCAGAAGGATCTGGCCCAACTTAGGCGCTGTCGGTTCAGGAGGCGGTTGGGTTCCGGCTAGTTCCGATTCCTGCATCAGGATCTCCCGGCTGCTGGGACACCTTCAACAACTACAATTTTTGCTGCGGAGATGAACCTCCGAGCAGCTCGGTGAAGTAGAGTTAATGGAAATGCCAGAATTCCAACTACTTCCAGGGCATGCTCTAGTCTGTTCACCATCTCAGCGGCACTTAAAGACTTGTACAGTCGCTCTGCAGCAGGTGACCGGTCTTTGACCAACTGCACGGCCTTCGTGCGATGGTGCACGCCGGGACGGGGCCTGCCCACTGCGCAACTTCTGTATGCCACCGTCAAAACAAGCACTTTGTTTTCCCAACACTCGCCATAGACAAGCAGGGCTGAGAATCTCAGGCTCGTCTGGGAACGGCGCATACCATGAACTGTCGTAGTTGAATGTAGTTTACACATGTAGTATCAGAAGCGAGGCGCCAGCCAATTACGGTCAGACTCAGCATCCCCGAAATACATGCAACAGATGGCAGGGTGGGCTCGCATCATTGCAGCAGAATGGCAGCTCTGCACACGCAGCAGGAGTCTTATCACCAGCTTGCGATGCCGCTGCAGACGTCATTATTCAGTCACTTGAGCTGCTGGCAGACAAGGCCTGCGAATTTCTACCGGCTGGAGCGTACATAACAATGTGCAGAGACTTATGAGCATCATCATGAAGTCAGCCAACGACGAGTTTCCAACAATGATAGGACTCGAGCCAGCAACTGCCAGTAGGAACTGGAGCTGCCGATGCAGCAGGCAACCATTGTTTCCAGGCTCCCGCCTGCAGCATGCCTCGCTGCTGTGGCTGGGCACTCCTCCGTTTCCCGGCAATCGTCACCGCAAAATTACGATTCCCTAAATGAAGCCATGTTTTCTGCTTGGAGAGTCGACGCCTGCCCTTGTGCATTCAAAGAGAGAACGCGATGATACAATTTGACCCAACTTGCTTGAAACAACTTGTGCCCAAGCCAGTCTCCCGAATCCGAAGGATCATGGGATGCAGAGACGCGGCAGACGCGAAACGACACACTTCCCCTTCCTAACCGCCTCTCTGGCTGCAGTGATCTTGAATCTTTAAGCGTGAAGCGAGCATCAACTGCCACTTTCACTAAGCGGCACTTGTGTGGCCAGTTTTGGGATCCCGTGAGAGTAAGAGAGGCTAATGCTGTTGAAGAGGCAGAGTGATCCGTCCGTCTAAGCGCGCCCTGTTCGGGCGTTGTTTGTAATGCATAAGCCGATCTTATACAGTAGCAATAGCACCCATCGGAAGTACATCGACAAATGCTAAATGCACCTGTAGTTTTGGTTGCATCCAACTTCGCATTTTCGACCGAAGTGCTGCGGTTCCCTTCCATGGTTCATGCATCTAGGTTTGCCTACAGTAAGGCGTTGCTTGGTGCACGGAGCGTGCAGCAGTCTTGCAGGCACAAGGGCTCCCGTGTTGCAGTGTTTGGATTCTCCCCGTCCTTCAATTGCTGATCAGCTCGGTCTGACTTGCCTGGCGTGGACATGCTCATGTCAGACAATCATGTGAATCCTTATCATGATCGTGGCATGTTCCTCCAAGCCACTATGATCAGTAGAAAATTGAGCTCATGTCCTAGTCCTGACTTACTAGTGTGGCTGAGTTTCGGCTGCATGGTATGGCCAATGTACAAGGGCCCGCGGCCCGAGTAAGCGGTCGAGTAAGCAGGAGGCTGCATGTCTGTCGGTGCACAGTATTCGTACACGAGCTTTGCCGGGGACTCACAGCCAAACGACACGTTTGAGCAGGCATGGGATCCCCAGCGCTTCCTTCAAGACGGGCCCGGTGACCTTGACGAGCGGCGTGCCGTCAGCATGCCACCCGACAACAGAGTTTGCCCCTGGTCTTGGCCAGTCCAGCTGCTTCCCTGCACCACCACAACCGCAAAGAGAGGAAAGGCTCTTGAATGACGTCCAAACCTGCTCTGTAGATACTGAGGTTTCGACATTGGCTGCAGCACTGCAGATTCCCCGGCTGATTTTAACAGCTGTATTGTAGTGTATAGCATCTCAGCATCACCGCACTCCGGGCAGCTGCCAAGGCATGCTGTATGTATATATGAGAAAATATGTGTCATGTACTTATATATCGAGTATATCCATGATCCTTTCATCTGAGGCCGTGCCTTGCAGCAGGAGCGCTTGCTGGAGTTCCAGCCCCTGGTCAAGGTGCCTTGCTGCGTAGTTTCCAGTTTCAAGCACAAGCACATGAGAATCGGCAGTGGGAGTGCGGGCTTAGAATCTGGGAGCCTGATGTTAACGGTCAAAGCATGGTTTAATAAGCCTTGGATATTGACCCGTGAAAGGAAAATTTCGAAGCAGTCATGCAGGGAACGGCAAGCCCCTATCACCAGACAGCAATGAATCCTGCATACAAGGAGCGACGCATCGAATAGCGAACCCTGAACGTTAAAGTGGCCACCTTAAAGCCCGACAACCAACCGGAAAGCAGCAACTCCACAATCGGATAATCGGAGTCAAAGCGCTGCGTATCAAGTTTGGCCCGCATTTGCTCGAAGCCTCGCAATCTGGTAGATCACCCAAAGAAGACATAAGGCAGATTCGCTGCAAGCAAGGAGCATTTGCTGAACTCCATGCACAGTGATTGGCCATATGGGACTGGAGATGGCAAGGCCGTTCGTTCCTTCACAGCGACATGTGTTGCTGCTCTGCGTTGCAGAAACACGTGGACGTGGACAGAATGTATAAGGTGGGACTACTGATGGCCGTCGTTGGGCCTGTGGCTGATGAAATGGCGGGCTTCATCAGGCCAGCATGACGTGCAATATCGGCATGAACCCAAGGCAGAACGACAGGCAGAATGCGAGATATCGTGATTTCATGGTCGGGGTGAGGGTCGGCCTCATTGCTGGAGACGGGCCTGCATTTTCTGGGGCAGGTGGTGGAAGTGCTATGCCAACATGCATGGGTACATCTTCTTCGAGGACCACGAGGAGCCCGTGGATTTGGTTGAGGCCTCAAGACTGCTGCAGAAGTGCTGCAGACGACCGCCAGTCACTGAGTCGTGTGCGTTAAGGTGCCTCCCTCTTTTGCCAAGCTGCTGGCAGCGACTGCACTGCGTGGCGTGGACAGGACCGGCTGGTCGGCACATCTTTAGCTCTTGGACCCTTTGTCTGTTTTGTTGCCGCATGTTGTCATCCTTCGCGTAGCTTCGCTGAAACCACTGCCGCTTGGGAAACCGGACGGCGGGAATCGCAGGTGGTCAAAGAACGATGGCAGCCCAAAACCGGGAAACATACCGGAGATGTGCTTAATTTTCAGGTCTAGAACTCAAGCATCAGTAGTACTAGGTCTCTCTTTGGCAGCCTGTGTCTAGAATCCTGTCCTGATTGACCCTCATGCAAAAGGGCTCCATCCCCCTCAAGTAGCTGCAAGAAGTTGCACATGGTGGTTTATGAGTTCGCACTGCTCGGCGAACTTGTGTTCATGAGGCGTCCCCGACTGTGTCCCCAGCTTGACACAATAGAAGCCCGGGCTCTGAGCCCACTCTCTGACGACTCCCCACTATTCTCTTAACACAAAATTTTCAGAGCAAAGAGACCTGAAGGCTAAGCCTCAACATGCTGCAGCAGCACTTCGGCTGCATCATTGGCGGTCCCTTATGAAGTTTATGCTTGGCCCCCCAGAAGTCATTATTCCAGGCTGAGCGACATGCGTTCCTTTTTGTGTTTCTATGTTTCTGTCTGTGAGAACGGGCTGAAGTCACTTAAGGCAAGTCTCTCGATATGCTTGGCTGAAGTGGCTTTCAGCGAAGCGCTACCTCCTCCAAGTTGATTGGCTCTTAGTAGTGGACCCTGCTCCTCGCCTGTCCCGCGAGTTAGCAAGCGTTTGTCAGCGTTTCTCTGCGTTCGTGTTTTTGTGTTGTGAGTCACGGTATGTTACGATGTTCGGTGATCCTTTTGCAGTCGCTTAGGACATGTTTCCAACTCCCGGATGTGGTATGGAGGTGCCAGTAGTGGAAGCTTATCAGAATATCTGCAGCGGCAGCGCTGCATGCAGTGTAATCTCCAACGATATGTGGCCACGAGATTGGGCCGCCATACAGCGAGAGAAGCGCAAGCAGGGTGGTGGCTATCTACCCGGCGGCCAGGACCAATGCCTGAGTCACCCTGCCGTGCGAGAAAGCCAGTCAGTAGTAGCATGACTTCGACGTACAGCAACAGTAGAGGACAAAAATGCCGGGTTCGTGATGATCCGCAATGATCAGCAGCTTGGTTTGCAAGTTTTTTCCATGTTTACCAGTACACCAATGCGAAGAGGAACGTCGGCTGCTGTTGTGGTCACGGGATGTCACGAGAGCCTTTTGGAGAGGTTGGGACAGCTGTACTTGGACCTCGTCCTGGCCGGGCTTGCTGGGAGATGGTTGAAACTGCAAATTGAAGAGGGTGTTTTGTTGAAATCTTACTGCAGGGAACAGTTGTTGAGATCCTCATTTGAGAGCACCCTTTTGAGCAAAGGCACCTGCTTGCCTCTGGCTCTTTTTTGCTTCTGACCAGGAACGGAGGTCGTGGTTTGGCCTCGGTATGCCTGACCAGGCTCCAACTGATGGAAATGGGCGAAGCACACGTCGTTGCGCCTGATCGCATCATGGGTGCATACGTTGAGCACTAGACATCACTAGACAGCGTCGTCCTACCAGGCAGAAGTCATCATGTCTTGCAAAGCTCCAACCTTTGGGAAGGATGCTGCTGGTGAAGCCTTGTTGGAGCTCATGTCCCTCGAGAACTCTCTGACTGGCGGCCCGCTTTACGCTGCTTGGCAGAGGGAGCAGCTGCCTTTGGATGACCATTGCGGAAGCGATTGCTCAGCGATTGAATGACATCGCTGGATGTCAGGACAATGCGTGCATGGTGGAGATGTTTTTAGCCCTTCCCTCAGCTCATGGCAACCATTGTCAAATCAAGCTACTGCCCGATGACTTCTAGTGGATGTTCTCCTTGCTTTGTGCAACTGAGACACCTGCAAGCTCTTTGGTGCTGCTGCTGGGTTGCAGTAGTGGCTGAAGAGTTTACATCTGCGAAATGCCATTGAACTATGCCTGAAGCAATTGCACAGAAGTCACAGAAGCAGTCGGACAGATATGCAGTCGAAGAGGCACGCTTAGAATCCAAGGCCAGGAGGAGATTCTGTGTCAAGTTACCGTCCTGCTGATTATGGCATGTGCCGCTTGGACTTGCCAACGCAAGCACTGCATCCTGGTTGGCGATCCTGCCGGTTCATCGTGTCAGGCTGGCTTCGGCATTCCGAAGCTCTGGCAGGAGTTTGCTTTCACTGTATGTTGAACCTGGTGTAGTGGAGGCCCCTCTTTAAAGGCATATTGATTTTGAAGAATCGTTCGGGCTACGCGCATTTTCAAATCCACTGCCGAGTCGCACACAAGCATACCACATGCAGAGTGCCCCATAGGACACGTTGGACATCGGCAGTCAGCAGTTGTTGGACTGACGAGCCCGTTGATGGCCAACTTGCAGCTTGCCTGATCTGTCACGTGTCCCGAGCCTTCCAGCGAGAAGTCTTTAAGTTACTGGAATTCCTGTTCAAGAACAAATCCCATTGAGCAGGCTTCGGGGCTGAAGCTTATATGGATATAGTTCTAAGCAGTCGTGACCATGAGTTCTACGATACCCACACGCACATGTCAAGTCAAGGCTGGTCGTCGGCTCCATCCCCCTTCGATAGAAAAAGAGCTAATTTGACCAGCTTTCAATTCGGAGGAACAGAAGTTGCCAATGCAGATGCGCGACAACGACGACGACCATTCACTACACCACACTGGCTATTCTTTAGCTTTGCTAATGCTTTGCTTCGCTGCTGCTACAGCTGCTACAGCTGCTCCTGCCAACCACCACTACGAAATCCAATTGTGAATGTCGCTACTACAAGTACTGTCCGGCAGGCGGGAACAGTACAGTCAGCTACTGGCATGCATGCGCCAAGGAATGTGAATCCCATCTTTTCTCAGCTTCTTGGTAAAGTTACTCTTTATGGGTCGAGGTTGTTGCAGTGCTCTTGTCTCAGGATGTGCTTTGCCGGTCAACTCGTGCCATCTGCCAGACATTGCCATGTGACGGCCTTTGTTGGGTCGCCAAGGATTTGGCATGTCCCAGACGGAGGCTGGAGCAGTCATCCTTCAGGCCCTGCCAAGGCAGCCGAGAAGTGAAATTTCAAATGCTTTGTTTGGGAATCTTGGTTCACTAGCGTGGCAATGATGCAACGTTACGACCGATTTACTGTGACAGCCTCCCACGGAGTCCGGTGCTTTCCTAGAAAACTGGCTCTCCCTTTTCCCGTCTCTTTAGGTCTAGCAAGCCTGATTCCGTGGTCGCCTGCCCTGGCAAGCCTGATTCCGTGGTCCCCTGGCCCGGTGCGGCGGTCTCCTGGTCGATTCCTGTACCCTGATCCGGCGGTCCCCTGGTCCTGTCAACACAGCTGAATGCAACAACGCATGCGGTTCAAGCCGGCCTGGATTGGCAGGATGAGTGCAGCGAGATTACAAAGAGTTGTTTGTGTACGAATCTCTTCCAAACCCGTCATGCCTGACGTGTGGGGGCTGAGCCCCCAACCCCTTTGCTTTATTGAGTTTATTGTTCTACATACGAATCTTCTCCAAATCCGTCATACCAGTCATGTGGGAGGTTGCCCCCCACCCCAACCCCCCGGTGCTGAAGTTGCACGCTTACTTTAAGAAAGACCATGCCACAAAAAACCTCGTTCAAACATGCGAACCCTTGTTGAACCCAGTACGAGTATTGAAAATTGCTAGGGTTTTCAGTGCTTTGAAGTTGCCCGTGTTGCAATTTTACAGTGTTTAAAGCCCATGAGCAGGCAAGGGGTATTGAGCCAGACCCAGACAAAAAACTAAAAGGTGAGAGCCTGACCTCAGACCACAGAAAAAGAAAGCCTCCGCCCCTCCCATGCTATGTCAGACTCTTCTCTCGGAGGCGCCGAGAAGTGCTCATGATGCAACGATGGTCTTCCTGCATTTTGCGGGGGTTGGACAGGCGATGGGTGTTGCAACTTTCAGATTCAGTGTGTGCGGCCTTCTGAGATTCAGAAGCATTCATGGCATAGTGCAGTGCTCCAGGCAAAGCGAAGTCTGATGGAATGGTTCGCCCTCGCCTACTACGGGCTGCGTCCCAATGCAAGCTGCAGCCAACTGCAGGTGTGCATTATGCATCCGCACACAGTAGCACGCATGCCTGCCAAGAATTTCCTGCGAAGCCATGCCGTTATCAGGCGGTTTCCACGCGCCCTCGGCGGAGGCACCAGCCGCGTTGTGCCGTGCAATACTTCCCGCAGAGAAAGAGGCCCGGGGCCCAATGCGGCCAGCAAGGTTGAGGATCAGATGGGTCAGTCAAGTGCCACTCTCCTTTCCGCAGAATGTTGGAGCAGGTTTGCATGGGCGGGTGACGGGTGAGCTTAACATGGCTTGACGTTGAAGTATCCACGTGTTTTGCTCAAGTTTGCTCCAGGCTGGAAAGCCACGTGTGTCGCTGCAGCAGCGAGTGGCGTCCCGTGCTGCGAGCACTGCGCGCTTCCCCGACGAATGCTTCCGGTGCTGGTGAGGGCCCTATTATCCTACTGCATCCCGAGTTCAACCACAGCTTCCTCTCTAGAATACATGGCTTCTGCGTGTTCAGTGCAAGCTTCTCCGTGTTTGGAGGCTGCAGCTGGAGCCATGGCCACAGTTGTGCGGCTGGCCGCGCATCCGCCCTCGGAGCTTGTGCCAGGCAAGGGAGGAGGAGGAGGAAAGCAAAGAAGAATAGATAGGAGACATGAGAGCGGCAGAGAATCCAGAAATTACTACATGATAATCCAGAAATTACTAGAAAGAACTGGACTGTTTTTTGAATCGCGAAATTGTCACCCGGCTGCAAGTGCAGGCTCACGATGACTCGCAAAAACTTCCAGGCATCCGAGGTGCGAGCTCTGTACTATATCCGCGTGTCCGTGGTGAACGCATGTGAGTAGAAAGAGGCAGTCGTTCCCACTGGCTGATGCAGTACGCTCAGTGGACCATGACTGGCTTCATCCCAGGAGCTCCTGAAAAGAGCCCTGAGAATGTCACTCAGAGCCACTGAATGTGGAAGGCGCGCAGGGATGCTCAGGGATGCCTCTGTGTGTCGTCGTAATGCCGCCTTCCTGCAAATCCTCACTCAACGTCAACCACGGGACATCATGTGCTCTTGTCATGGAACACAGTGATACGGCATACTTTTGCAGGCATGCGCAAACTTAATCTGCCATCCATGGACCTCAAGCATCAATCAGAACACTCGCATCACCATTGTACGATACTGTTTTGCCGGATGCGGCGGTTGTGTGAGCTGGCGACTCGCGACGTCATCTGTGATGTGGCGGAGCCACAATCGACCTTCCCCAGTGGTTTAACGTTTTGGGTTTAGGGTGCCGCTCATCTGAGAACTTGAGAAACCATCTTGTTTTCCACTGTGTTGCAAAAGTGCCCTCGGTGACGACATGCAATTGTGCACTTCCGCATGGCCAGCTCCTCCTGTCAGGAAAACATTAAAACATTTTACGTGCACAGTCCTGTGTAGCGACCTTGTCCAGAATATTTCCTGTTCGCATGTCATCGCGCGGCCGCATCCCCAGCATGCATGTTCACGCGAGCGCATCCGCGAGCCCTATAAACGTAGATATTGTATCAAGACATATCAAGACCACCCCGAACAAGAACCCGCAAGCCCCTACTGTAAGCACAGTTTCCGCAGGTTCCACACGCAGTCGGGCCGGCATAATGTTAACACTGGCAAGTGCCGATCGTTTGGCATTGCTGTTGCCAAGCAGCGCAACAGCACGTCGAGGAATCCGCGGCAACAGTACTGTCTAGCCATGCAGCCTCCCCCGGGCTACTCCTTCAATTCTTCATTCATGCTTCTAGAGGTATGCGCCATGCGCTCCAGCAGTTTTGTGCTGTCGGTGCGGTCACAATTTGCTTGCAGATTGATAAACCCCATCTCCAGATCACTCTAGATGTCTATCCAAGCTTGGGCTAACGCCATTGAAGCCAGCAATGCTCTGATTGGCAGTTCCTCTTGGCCGTCGTCGGCTGTGTGGGTGCAAAATCTACAGGTACCCGATCTGCACTTGGTGTTCAAGCATGGTCGGGCCTGCTGCATGGTTCTTGCGACCGGAGGGGACATTGTCCTCAGTGGAAGGCTTTGAAGAACCGCGAGCTGATGTGCTTCATGCGAAACTGCCCTGATGCGATGTGGAGTTGGGAGGACGCAGGCCTGATAGCCCGAGTGTACTGCACAGCGGCCGTGGGCCTGTCCGCATTTCAAGACTTCACAGGCTTGTTCTCGGTGGATCCAGCACTGCAAGTGATTCCTGGTGGCCCCAGAGATGCTGCTCAAGCGGCGAGGCAATGGTCAACAGCAGGCCTCAACAACTCGACAAGCTCACGTCACATAACGCCCGTGAGACATGCGCTGCATCTGTCAAGTCCCGTTCCGTCATGAAGGCTTGCAGAATGAGCTTGCCTTTTGGCATTGGTGGCTGGACCAAAACAAGGCGCCTTTTTGAGTGACCATTACGTCGAGAGACTTTTGCAGAGAGACTTGAGGAGCGTCTGAGTATGGGATTGCGTGACATGCTGTAGCCCTGATTCAGGCTGAAGGGCTGAGGTGCATCCTGAGGTTTCAAGTTGCTGAGCTCCAACCGGGCTGCTGGCTGCTGGCACTGCTGAATTACATCAGGTTGCTCAGTTGTGGCGAAATTGCAAAGATGGGCCTAGCTAGTACACAGAAGACCGAACACCGCTTGTTGCACTGGCGTCGGACAGGAAGGTCGCTGGATTGCTGCTTCAGTCACGGAGGACTGGCCCAGCTTGAAAGTGGCGGGAGCGTTTGCTTGGAAATGCTGAGACTCCATGTTCGTTTGCTTCGCTGTTTCTCAGAGGCAAAGATGTAAAAAGGTGCATGGCAGCACAGGACTGGACCTATGACGACCTCTGTGCCCTGGCACCACAACAGCCCGCTCGTCTGCTCAATGCCGGAAGCGGACCTGTTGTTCCCAGGGATATTCATTGCCACTGAGCTCAAGGGGAGAGCTAATTCAAACATCTTCAAACATTCAACATGCGGATGATGAGAGAAGCAGGATGCCTGTATCATGCCTGTAGGATGGCTTCAGGGCACAGGTGACACATGCCGCACTGCGAGGGTTCTAGGCGACAACGGGACGGTTTTCATCAAATGTGAGCAGCGCATGCTCATGGCATGAAGGATCAGCATGTTCATTTGTGGCAATGCTGCTGATCACATCAGTCAAGGAAAAAAAGGCAGAAGGTCTTAGCTCTTGGGAACTTGCCCTTCCTTGAGCCTCAGTCTCCTCACCGATCTCGACAGCCTGAGCCTCCTTGCGCAGGATGTCCTGCATCATTTGAGTCCGACGCCGCATGCGCGTTGGCATTGGAAAGCGTGCTGCTCCTTCAAGCCTGGGATTCTCTTTGCAAAAGCGCCAAGCCAAAAATGCCCAATTTCGACGCGCCCTGGGAAAGGCCGAACGAGGTCTGACACTGGCTGCTTTGCATATTTCTCGCCCCCTTGGTTCTAGCTTGTAGAGGTCGGCAAAAAAAGCGAAACGCCCCACAGCTAAGGGGTTCACCTCAGTTAAGTCCATGTCTACGCCCGTCCTTCGAGTACAAAGGATCACGATCTGTGCTCCTTGTGATGCAGTAGAATTATCCAGTGGAAGTGGCGGCTGGTCGCGCTGCAGGCTGCGCCCTAAACGGAAAGAGGGGAGAGAACACTGCCAACGACCCAAGAGCTGCGCAGCCACGGTCGAGATCACAGCTGGTCTGGGCGCAACTGTGTAAACGAACGGGTCTTCGCGGACGGTATCAAACGCCTAATGCTTGCCAGTAAGACATCTTCCGAATGCAGCAGACTGCCACGCAGCAAAACGAAACAAAGGGCATTGTTGCACTCGCCATGTGTGTGTGTGTGTGTGTTCGCCATGTGTGTGTTTTGTTGCTGATGGTTGATCGGGGTGATCAGTAGACCTAAGATGCCAAGGCCCTGGCGGGACGATCGAAGTGGTCTCGACAGATGGCTTGGCTGATTTGTACCAAGGCATGGTTTTGTATATTGGAAGAAGTTGATTTGCTCAACATTTGATGTTTGCCCAACCTGATCAACCACAGGCCTTTACTATGCGCTGGACCTTTCACCTCCGAAAAAGCTGACACGCTGCACATTGGAGGCGGAGCCAACTGTTTTCAGATGTTCTGCTGGTAAATATGTTCTCCTCCTCAACAAGTTAAAGGTGATGCATGCCAGCATCCCTCATCTGGCAGTCACAAAAATACTTCTCCATGGTCACCAAAATCTTCGAATCACCTTCACGGATGCATCAAGTCTGTTCGTGGTGACACAAGACATTCCGCCAGCTGTGTCGAAGGCGCTGAGCACATGCTTCCCTCAGCAGTATTTTGCGTCTTGGCATGCTGTCGGCCATGCTGGGACAATAGAACAGATAGCCTGACGCATGTGGAGCCATCTCATGCGCTTTTGTCACCAGGACATAATTCAGACAGAATGTAGTATTGAGATTCTTGTCGTCAATGATTGCGATGCCCCAGCGATGACCTACTGAGGATCTAGTTCATGTTCGCAACGCTTTGGACCACGCTTTGCAGCCAACCCGTGCCATAAGGGAGATGCTTAAGGCGCACGGGTCAGAGAATGTCATGCTGAAAGTTGAGAAGACTGTTGCGCGGGTACTGTTTGCCCTTTGCGAGGTGACACGACCCGGTGGCCAGGTGCTTCTTCGCCATGCCAGGTACAAGGGTTTAAGGGCTTCAGCGGTTCACCCTGCGACTAGGTTCAGAAACTTCTGCAAATTGGTGATCCAACTAGTTACTTCGAGTACATGCTGTGAGTGCAGGGATGAAGCTTCCCACATGAACTTCAGCGGCATGCACCAGTGGTCCTTTGAGCTGGACGCATCGCAGATACCTCATCACGGGCAACTACTCTTTGGGAGGAAGCGACACCTCGTAGATTTGCACACAGAATTTGGCAAGGAGGCTGTTGTGTCATCCTCCATGGTGCAACTTTGGTTCAAGCAGCACACAATGTTTCGTGCGAAGTGCTTGCCAATTTGTTTTGGCAGCTACTAGTACTGGCAAAGCACGACAGCTTGAATTGTTGAATGAGCCTGGCACTGAGGTCCTTGACGTCACCTGGGGCAACTTTAGATCGAAGAGCCTACATTTTCGTGGAGTTAACAAAGTTTTCGTGATACAAACGTCTCCGCGGCATGCGGCGCTCATCAGATCCTGTGCCTCCTGGGAACGCCAGGGATTGCAGGAGCCCTGGCACGTCGACCAGTCTTGGACAACTCCCGCTATCAAGAATCGGCACCGGCAGTTTTTTCCAAGTCGACCTCAACGAGAATGTCTGAGGGATGCATGCCATGGCATTTGTTGGAACATCTCCGTTGCATCCGACGTGAACAAGCTATGTGCCGGAAATTTCGGCAGGAACTGAGCATTACGAAGCGTGGTTCATACTTACGGTCTTGAACCTGCCACGTCGATCTGGAACGACTTGCAACTCTTGCTTAAGCACACCACTCAAAGCTTAGTCGGCATGGCGATGGCACTTGACGTTTCGCGCCTCGGTGGAGTTGTTGAACCTGCTGGAAGCTGCTCACCTTTGGTTTACAAGATCAGCTGAATGTGATTGCGCCCAGAAGGTTTGATGTACCTGGAGTCTAGAGTGCTCCGAGAGCTCCTGAAAGAATCTGACAGCTCGGCGTGGTTGAAGCGAAAGCGCAGCAGGGCTTCGCAGGACGTAGGGCTCACTAGGCACTAGACTGTTCGCGAAGACAGTTCGTGACAGTGCAGTTATGATGTCGCCGTAAAGCCTCCACCTATGAAGACCTGCGAATGAGAGATGGTGGTAAGGCAAGGCTGGGATTTGAAGTCGTGAGGTGTGAGAGTGGTGTGAGGCAATGTAAGGCATCGAAGTACCTTGTCTGCAAGATGCTGGTGGCCAGGCAGCGCGCTGGTTGGCACGGAATCTGACTACAGCGAACCTGCTGGACCGCCTGGCAGCCTGTGAGGAGAAGCGCGCTTAGAAGGGTCATAAAGGGCTCTGGTCCATGCGCCGTGACATGACTGTAGCCTGCTGAGGTTTGGCCTCCAAGATATTAAGGAAAAGATCCTTGAGCAGCTGACTGCGAACACCGATGCCAGCCTCCTACTACATGGGTAGAGCTCAACTAGAGAAGCATGCTTGATCGTCCTTGTGTCCTGTTGTCAGATGTGATTCTGGCTCTGTGGCGAAGGTGTTATATGAGATGGTTAGCAACCCTTCTGTCCGCACCTGAGTCCCAGCCGGCACAGATCCTGGAGTTTCTTTCCATGTGACTTCTGTGGTAGGTCAATTAGGCCAGCATCTGAGGTTCGATCCGTGCCTGGTGTGTTGCAGGACCTTCTGCTGCGATGACCTCAGGAATGATTCCAGGGCGGCTGTTTCCGCTTGCCCACGCTAGCCGCATTCAGCGGAGCAGCATATGAAAAGTTGCAATTATTGTTGAACGATGTGCAGCTTCAAAAGGTTGAGGCCTCTAGGGTTCTGCACCCGACTCTATGCGAACCCAGGCGGCTTCTTCAACTTCTCGGTTGCGGCCCGCCCCAGACACGGATCAGCGTGGATCTCGGCCAGAGATGTGGCCCATGCGCTCAGTCGTCCCCGCTGATAGGACATCATATCACGGGAATCCAAATCCCCACCCTCCGCTTTCGATGTGGGACTTGCCTTTGGAAAGCAGCAGACATGCCAGCCTGCCATACCAAACAACAGATGTTTGAGCATGTCCCTGTGCCCAGGTGGCACTGCAACAAAGGACCAGCCACTGAAAAAGGCCAGGTTCAGCTTGTTGGTGACTCTGCCATGCTATTGTAGAAGGCCGACGCCATTAGAACCGAGCCTTGTAACTTAGTCACTCAAGCAATCGGGATACTGGAATGGCCTGTTGCGCAAGGCAGATCCCTGAGATCCTCCGGTGAGTGTCACACGGGCGTTGTGGGCAGACGTCCCTACCTGGCAGAGCACATTAGCACAAGGACGTTAGGATGTACTTTGCATAAGGCAGTACGCAGCTCACATACTGGCTGGCCCCAGGGCCTGGCATGCACAACATTCCGTCGAGACACGCTCCGATGCCAATATGGGCACAGCAAGACATATCAGATGTGGTCATTTCCTGCTCTGCCACACATTAATTAATTCGAGAACCCCCAATTTGTTTGATGCACCTGCAAGGTTCAATCTCCTGCTTTCCTAGCAGAGGTTTGTTTCATGAGACGGCCACTACCTGTAGTACCGAAAGTCCCTATAGCAAAGTTGCTCATTCTTGCAGTCACCTGCATTGGCCACTGTAGTAAAGCTGCGCGCTGCTTCGCTACTGTTCTCAGCGCCTTCTCTTGCTGACTACAGCTGCTTGGAGCCTGTCTGAATGGGGCACTTGCGAGTTGCCAGCCTGGCTCTTGCTTTCACGCTTTCACGACCTGCGCAAGGAGATCGTCAGGTGTGAGTTAGACTACAAACCCAGTTTCGTTTAGATGCTGCCGCAGGTGTGAAGTAATGCGCAAGAGTGTACAGGACATCGCAAAAAGGGTCGCGTGATTGAACTCAGGTTGGATTCGCGATTTGTTTTTTCGATATTGTGGTTGCTGCTACGCGTCTTGTGCCCTTCCCAAGATTTACGTGAGTATTGTAGATGCTGAGGGCACCCCACAAGCCCTGAAGCACAAACCTTCAACCTTTCACCATCTTTCACCGTAAACACAAAAAATGAGGATTGAGAGTTGTTGGGGATCACCATATCCTCTAAAGGGGCACGGACCTCCACCCTATACACCCTTAGACCCCCCTCTGCAAATTGGTGATTTAGGGGAAGTTGGTGCGAGTGGCTTTTTCCCTGGGACGTTCAAGCACGCTTATATTTGTCTTCTTATCGTACATGCCTGCCTCTGCTGAATGGCAGTAGCGCAACCTCACTCGCTGACTTGGCTCTGAGTTTCATGCACGGAACCTTGGGGATGAGACCTCCCGTGTGCTCCCCTTCGAAAAGGGCAGGATCGCCAGTTTGCCCGGCCCTTGGAACCGGTTTTTCACTTGCAGATACGTGCAGCAAGGCAGTTGACCATGCGCAGCTGGCCGACTCACAATTGAATCTGTCATGGATCTCTAGTCGGAACGCACGAAATGCAGAGGCCACTGCCAGCGTGAGGAAGGCCTTCCAAGGCCAGGACCCACGGCTCGTTGCAGTCATATTTCGAGGCCACCCTGTTTGTCTTTGCTGTGCAGGTCCCCTGGGTTCACGCTGACATGGGGCAGGCCAGCCGTTGTATTTGCGCCGCATCCAGTCAAGGCCACTGGCAGGACAAACAGAGACTGACAATAAATCTGGCAGCTTGCAACGCTACGTGCGATGGATTCAGCGTTTGTCAGTCTCCATCAGGACAGGTACCAATTTAACCAAAGCATCATCTCACGCAGAGCGCGTCTCACAACCCAGGTACGCAAGTCTATGTGCATATGTGTCCCAAGTATTGTGGAATATGTGTATACACATATGCACATGTGTGTGTGTGTTTATTTGCATTATTTTGATGTGTTTGTGCGTGTATACTTACATATGTCTTTATTGCATGTCCATATCTAAGCATCTTCACACATTGTGCTATAGGCATTTTGGGGGAACGCTTATGTTCTGCTTGACTCACTGAAATGTCCAGAAGATTCCAGAAGCACCGGGTCCATGATTGTGAGACCGCCCTGCTGGCACCCTCAGGTGCGAGTAAAACGGTCGGGCTTGTTCCCGCTAGCATGTAAAGAGCAAAGCTGCCAACACGTTACGAATCTTCTGACAGTGCTGTAGTTCGCAGCTGAAAAAAGGTTGCCAACCAACCCTGCAACATCTTCTGCTCGTGACTAGGTTGGCGGCCGGGAGAAGCTCGATGAAATTTATTTTGTGCAGAAGGCTGGAACTTGCACCGCTGTGGTACATGATCTCTGCAAATCCAGATGAAGACAACATCGCGTCGCTTTGCTTGTTGCCTCGGAAAGATGTTTGCTAGGATTCGCTGGTGTTGTCAACGCTCTGGATGCAGCACCAGCTTGTGCAACCTCACTCTTTTCCATGTCAGAGCAGACAGGTGAAATTGGGACAGGGAAGCTTCGGCACAGTTTGGCGAGCAAAGCATCGAAAGAGTGGCATGACAGACGTTGCCTCAGTGCCTGTGTGTGTGTGTGTGTGTGTGCGTGTGTCTGTTTATCTGTGGGTGTGATGAAGTAGCGGGGCACCTGTTTGTGCCGGAAAGAAGATGCTGACTTGTAAATGATTGGGCCTCAATAGGCGTAGTGCTGCAAGCCCAAACCCCCCCCCCACTTTCCCAGATCCACCATGGCAGAAGGCGTAGCCGGACAGATGCAGGTTGCTGTGCGAAACTTCCTGACAGATGTAGAAATTGATTTCAATGTGTACCTTCATGAAGCTGGGTTTAGGGCCGGTCTAGAGTCCAGGGCATGTATTTCCGACCCAAGCATGACACTTCGGCTCGGAGAGCTCCTGGGATAGCAGAAGCGGGGTGGGGATCACACATCTTGGGGGTCAACACCTTCGATTGCTGTTTCCTATGCGGGTTTACATCATTGTTACATCAGTGTTTTGTCCTAGAGCTTTCTCTGCATAGAGCGCACTCTGCCTCGAATTCGCTCGCAAGAATTTTACCAACGATTCCTTGCATGAATTTCGGTGATTCTGTAGCATGCAAGGTCGCCGTCAAGCAGATGGACAAAGCCAGCATGCCAAAGCGCGGTGCCACTCTCTCAGACTTCGGCGCAGTCCTGGCTTGCCTGAGCCTCTTGAGAGGGTGCTCGTCCACAATGACGTCATACATGGTGACATGATGTCAACACGTTCTCATGCGAGGGACTCCAATCACTCCACTTAAGCGGTTTTGTGCTCCATTGAGGTCAAGCGCCAAGACATTGAAAGAGAGGTTTCGATGATGAAGGCACTTGACATTTGACAATAGTTGACACATTTCCCTTTCGAGCGAGTTCTCAGCTTAGCGATGAGCGATGCGTAGTGCATGGAAGTTGCAGGCTTGCTCACACGAGTACATCACCAAGCTGTACGACACCTTCGAGGACGCCAGTGTAGAGTGCGTGTTGTGCCGTTGCATCTCTCCAAATGCGGCATCTGTGTGTGTGTGATGAGATAATGCTTTCCCTTATTGGGTTAAGGAAGAGGATCTCATTGAGGAAATTTTGTTCAGTGGGTTTAAGGGACCAACCGTTATCCCGTGATCAGCTGGCTGCCCCGGACAAGTAATTGGAGAAAAGATAGCAGAAGGCCACAGGCAAGACGTGTGACACGTTGTCCCAAATTGTACAAGCCACTATGCATGAAGCATCGTCGCGGACGTTGCCTCGATGCACATTGGTGAGAGTTCTGATCAGATCTGAGATGTTTTGACATTGCTGGTGACTGGCGGTGCAGGACCAAGCCAGCATCTATTTGGCATTGGAGTACTGCGACGGAGGTGACTTTGGCGACAAGGCAAGAAATCTCCAATGTTTTCGAGTCGAAAGGTGTACACAAGGGGAAGCACATGCAAGCAAACGTAAACATATGCAGATTAATGCAAATTAGTTTTTCGTGACAGGTCCGAGAGCTTGGACCGGTCGACTCCTCGGTAGCTGGCTTCATGTTGCTGACGTGATTGCACTCGATTGACTGGTTCAGACTCTTCAGACAGGTCATCAAAGAGGAGGATACGGCTGAGTGGATGCGACAGATGTGTTTTGCCGGCTCATTTCGCAACACCGTATGGAGCAAGAAAGGGACGGTCGCGTGGCTCACGGCCAGGCGAAGCTCTGAACCATCTGCATAGCAAAGGCTTGGGCATGAAGTGCATCACTGTGCATAGGGTTGCCGGTCACCTCCCCTGCATCCGCTTGGCACATTGCAGGCATATGCCACCGGGACATCAAGTCCACGTCCTTGTTCACTCCAGTCAGCTTTGCATCTCTATAGGATTTCCACTATGCCCTGAGGCCTGACAACTTCATGGTTCTGGGGGTTGGGGCCTTAGCGGGCTGTGCACATGCACATTTGCGTTCCGCCCGGCCCATGCGAAGTTTACAGGGTTTGTTTCGATTTGTCAGAGCGCTGGGATGCGCATTGCGACTCAGCTCACAACACGGTCTGAGAGGAAATGCTATCTCGGTGACAGCTGTTGAGGACTCCACTTTGAAGCTGTCGGACTTCGGCCTGGCGGTGCACTTGCCAGCAGGCACTCAGCATCATCGTCAGAACAGGGCATTCTGTCCGAGTTTGCATCAGGCAGTATCTTGACAGACAAATGCGGCACGCCCGCCTTCATGGCGCTCCAGCCTTGGGATGTAGTAGCAGCACTGAAACGTTGCAGTTTCGGAGAAGCGGCAGTTGGCAGCAGCGTGCAAGAGTATGGGAAGCTGATGGAAGCTGTCGCACCATCGAGCATGCAAGGCCCGAGCAGCACATGATGCCGGTTCATAGCCGTGGCTATGGATTTCCGGTCGACATGTGGGCGGCCGGTGTGTCCATGTGCGCCAGGGAATCTCAGGTCCCTGAACAGTTCCCTCCTCGTTAAGTGGAGCTTGCGCTGCATGTGGAATGGGCTGGTTGCCATCACTTTCTACTGATGATGCATCAACCGATATCAGCCGTTTTGTGAAAACAAGCTGCTTGACGAGAGCCATGGGGGGTGCATTTTGCCGCTTGTGCTGCAACCGCCCCAGCGAGAGCGGTGATGCTCTCGATGCGATAGATGGAAAGCCATGGCCGGAAAAGCAAACAGAGGACTTTGTCGGCTTAGAAGCTTCATGCAGGGACCGAAACTATGTCAGTCGCATGATGTGCCTGACCTTTGCAGGGTTTCCCAAGGTCAATGCTTGGGAACGGCAGGTTGCGTGGGAGGTCGTCCCATCTCCCATTGTGGATGGTCTATCCTTGCTGGAGCAGAGCCAGAGCAACACACCGGAGTGTCTCAAAGCGCTAGCTGAAGCTTTGAAGACGAAAAAGACCGTGATTGTCGGATCCGTTCGGATGGGCTACGGCCACCATCGCATTGCCTACTCCGCCCTGACCTGGGCCTTGGAGCTTGGGGGCAAGCCCTTCCTGTTGGACATCCTTTCCCCCGACTGTGTTGAGGCCGCTGTCGTCCGCAACATGGACCAGCCACTCAATTTGGTTTTGGACTCTTGTGTTTAGACTTTTTCAGCCAAGTGCTTCCTGCAGCACTGTCAGATGGACAGCTTTACCGGGTTTTAAGGAAACATTCCAAGAAAATAGTACGACAGCACGTGTTATCCCCTGCACGTGAGAGAGGCAGTACTCGCGCATGTCCCGCATTGCTTCCAACCTTGGTGGTGTCTTCGATGCGATGTGGGGCAAAATGATGCTACAAGGTGACGCAAATGCGCTGAGACACCAGGCTGCACGAAAGGCTGTTTGCCGTCCCGGTATCAAGGTTCCCATTGAGAGACCACGCTTCTGTCCATTCAGCGCGAAGAGTGCAGTGGCAGGTTCCGAGGGCAGCGCTGAAGTATGCTAAGATCGTCCAAGCCTGCTCAGTAACTCAAAAGTCTGAAGTGGCGCGACTGCAAACTTTATGCGGCATATGGTGTCCCGTGGTGTTCCGACCCGGCTCGTGATGTGCAAAGCGACCACCCGCCAGCACTAAAAATCTCCCAACGCTCTTGCCCCAGTAGTGAAATAGATACCTTCTTTGCCTTCGTCTGATGCAGCCGGGAGTAGATAATCTACTGCTGGAGGTTCCAGCCTTGTTGTCCGTAGGAAGGTATCGTAAGTGCAAGATGTGGATGCAAGGAGGAAGAGCCCTATGCAGTATTCTGCAGTGCACGCTTAAACCTGCTGTCTTCAAACATACCTACGATGCCCTCCGGGTCTTTGGTCCCATATCAGTCCATATCTGTCCATATCTGTTTTCATTATGTTGCCTGCCTTGGCTTGAGAGGAAAAGTCTCAGCTTCAATGCCTCTGCTAATCGCAGAACCAGCTTTGAATAGCACCAAGGATGTTGTCTGGCATTGGCTCAGCGTATTCGTGGAATAATGGCGGCATTTCCAAAAGACGTACCAGCCACTCGCATCGCTGATATGTAGGTCGTTGCTGCTTGTTGGTCGGGTGCCACAAATGAATCTCATGCAGGTTCTGCACAAATTAACTAGGCTCTTGATAGCTGAGGTCATCAGCACCCATCCAATTGTCGGCAACATGGCTGTGGCCTGTGGCTGCACAAACGTCATCAATTTGATCTTCGACAACTATCCACAGCCCGCTGGCACAGAAATGCCCATGCTTGTAAGCTTTGTATCTCTTGTTTTACCTGACAGAGTCTTGAGGTACTTTGTCCTGGTACCTGGTGCGCTGAACTTGGTCCAGTCTCCGTCTTACTTCGACAAGCTCTTGGACATGGGTTGCCCTGCAAAGAGCTTGCGCTTAGCGGGGCACTGGGTGTCCAGCGACCTGTGCCTCAATGCTATTCCAGACAGCAAAGCCCGGATTGAGCGATCTGAGCGCAACCTGCCGCGGCGATTCCTTATTGCAGTCGGGGGAGCGGGTGCTCAGAGCGCCTTTCTGGCAGGGCTGCTGGCTGGGATTGCCCCACTTCTTCGCGACAAACGCATCCGCATCTATCTGAACTGTGGAGACCACAAGCACATCGCAGATGCCGTCATCGCCAAACTCAGGAGTCTGGAACTCGAGTGGGACGAGGTGACGACCAGCGAGGGCACCGTTGCACTTTGTCAGAGAGAGGCCCTGGACTTCCTCCAGGAGCCCGAGAACTGGAAGGAGCGACGGACCGCGTCGGAGCGAGTCGGAACGGGTCGGATCGAGTCGGATCGCGTCCGCTTTCTTTGTAGTTTTTTTGGGATACTCATGAACGCTGCCCTCAGGGGAATCAGGGGGGGTCGACAGAAACAACAAGTGGGAGCAAGTTTCGTGGCGGGCGTGTTTTTTTGGTCTGACGGTTGTGGGAACAATATGGGAATCTCGTGGACTCGTCCTTTAAAACGATGCAAAGTTTCCCAGTGTCGAAAGACAGCGTTCCAAGGCGTCACCGAGATCTGATCCTCCTTCAGGGAGCTTTTTTTGGCGTTCAGTGTAAATTCGTATGAAGGACGGGAGGATGGTGAGTGTGAGGTTGTTGGGGGAGCGTCGGAAATTGTGTCGTGAAAATCCCGCAGGATCAGCAAGTATCCGCTTTGGTCTGGCTTTCTGCATAAGGTTTCTATCATCCGTGCAGGCTGTGACGGTCTTCCGTTTCGACTCACACTTTGCTGCCTTCCGGTGCACAGACCTGGCGATCCGTGTGGCAGATGTGTTCCAAGGATGCATCAAGGAGTGATGCAGAGGCTTGTGGTTCATGTCATGATGTCGGATGATGCTGGGCATCCGGAGACTTGGACTTGAGGCTGGTGACAAAGCCTTCAGAGCTTGCGTTCTTCCCAGACTCATGGCTGAACTCATCCGAAAATGCCGGCAGGTCATTTTGTGATTTGTTTGCTGATTTTTTCGGCAGCCCTTTTCTCGTAAACGTGAGGTTCCCAAGCTCCACATCCGCCGCGTGGGTGCGCATGAAGCCCACTCGGCTGTGCGGGCCCAGGAGATTGGCGATGGCAGCGTCGAGTGCCGCGAGGCATGTGACGTCATACGGGTCAACACACGGGGGAACATTCAGAGAAGCCTTTCCTTCCATTACCAGCACATGGCAGTTTTAAGCAGGTGCCACACGCTGTTCAAAAGCTGGGTCAGCTGATCGAGCCTCAATCGGCACTCTTCCGTCTCATGACGCCTTGCTGAAGAGGTCAAAATTTATGCTTAGTGAGCGTGTGTGTGTGTGTGATGTCTGTGTGGGTTCAAGTGCGGACGGTGCATCAATGCTTGTCATGTCAACCAGGAATGAAAGCATCATCAAGGCCGCTGAACAGAAAGTGTATGAGGGAAGCAAGGTGGCTTGTGAGTTTGCTTTCGCTGAGCGAGAAGCTTGAGCCGCCGGATCGAACTCGAACTGTCGATTCTATTGCTTCTTATATATCTTGCATTGGTTCTGACAGTGCGGAGGGTCAGGAGAGCTTCCTGGGCTACGGTCCTGGTGCTGGCTGTCATTCGACGCTGCCCTAAGCGCCCCTTCCCGCACGTAGGCGTTTGAATACCGAGCGGTTTTTGAAGAGACTCGTGCAATGGCTATACAGCCTGTTCTCTTAGAGGATACAGCCTGGAAGCTTTCCAACATCTAATATGATGACGAGCCCATAGCTTCAGTAACTTGAGGAGTTAGAGTTGGAGCGCTTCTGGTTTTACTCCGGCTGATTTGCAGTAGCCAACTTGAGCTCGATCAGCTCGCATGTCAGGGCCACTCATGGCCACGCGGTGCTCAAAAGAGAAGCCTACATGGTGCTTGCATGCGATGGTCGCAAGATGACGATGCCACGGGCCATCATTGGCCAAAGGTACATGATCATCTTTGGGGGCAAACATCCATTCTTGAATCGACGAAACGAGCTTGACCAAAGACTAATGCCCGCTTCTGAGTTCTCGCCTTTGGGAGAATGATCAAAGCAAAATCAGTTTATGACCGTGTGCAAGGCTTGAGGGGAAGTTAGACTTTACGGACACTTCCTCCGCAGCTTGAACGCACTATTGCAGCTGGCTGCTGCTGAGTCACTTGATGAAGGCATGCTGGCATTGGTCCGAACTGCCAAGCTTTCGATACGGCAACAGAAGCAGATTGTAAGTATCTAAACTGACCATCTTTCTTTCGATCATTCCTAAGGTTGCAGCGCAAGGACTGGGTCTTTTCGGCGGCCTGCCTAGCTGCTCAAGAGGCCATCATCCTGTGACCCCTTGCGCGCTCAGGTCTTGGCGAAACGATCCAAAAATTCTCAGAGCCCGCGAGGTCATGGGGGCGCGAAGCGCAAGGGGTGGTTTAAGCTCTGGGTGGATTGGGCCGCTTCAAAACAGCTCGGCTTGTGACTACGTTACTCGAACTTGCTCAATGTTTCTCACTACACATTGGCCCAACTTCGCAATCTGAGCTTCAATTGAGACAACATCACGGAAGCTCAGGGTCTGCCGACATGTCTGTCGTGCCATACCCGATCAAGTTGTTCGCAGGTCTTTTTGCAAGCAGTTGGCCAGCAGCTCGGGGATCAGCATCTCCCAGGAAGGGTGTTTCAGCTTGCGTCTCTGAGGTTCAAGTCAATCCGGCCGCGCGACTATCGGCCGGCAATGCAATCAGGCCAGAAAGCTCAAAGACTTTCCGCCGAGCACGCAGTACCGAAGCCTGCTCACTAAAACTCTCCCGTTGCAAAGGGTGGCATGGCTACACTCCGGGAGGCCAGTTGAGAGCGCTGCAGTAGTTTTGTCAAGTAACGCCTTACATGACGCAACCATCCTCAGCTCTTTGCAGGCGGGTAGCGGAGCAAAAGAGAAAGCTTGCTGAAGGCTTGCCGACAGTTTCACGTGGCAACATGGATGTCGCCTGAGGGCGACTTTGCACCGCATAAGCAGTGAGAAAGCCTGACGCTTGGGCTGTGTGACAGGAAGTCCCAGCGATGCAGAGGACGCCAGCCATCGCCAGCCTGTTGTGTTCGACTCACGATTGCAAGTGAGGGCAGCAGCAACCGTGGCATGTTTGAGTCAGTCCTGAGAGGCTGTTGCTGGACGCGGTGACCCACAGCCGCGAGCACGCTCAGCCCGAGGGGACACGTGTGGAGCCCGGACATGCTTCGACAATTTCGACAGTTGTGACTGGTTTCGCAGTTCTCACGAAATGGTATGGATGTATGCCCCTGAAGTCCATGGCCATCACTGATACTAGTAGTGAGAGCCGCTTACGCAATGTCATGGATTCCTGCGAGTACACACTCAAGTGAGGCCAAGCCCCATGGCATATCCACAGGCCGCAGCAGCATTAGCCTAGCCGGGGTCACAAGAAAGCCATGATGTTCATGGTTCCCGGCCTGCTTGGATGCCGACAGGGCGATGGCCGCACACCAAAGGGCGATGGCCGAACACCAAAGGGCGCCGGAAAGGGCCCATCGGACAGGCCGACCCGACAGCTACAGGTGTTGTCCCCTCATGACACGCTTTTGTGAGCCCATGTGAGACCTGCTTGATCAGGTTTGGCATTGAAGCGCCTAAGGCTCTTCAGAGTTTGCAAGTCGTCTCTGGACCATCCAAAGCACTGCATTGATGGATGTTTGATGATATTTGTGTACCTCGCGAGCACTGCTCAGCAGCTTGACATTACTTGGATCGCGAAAACTTTCCAGGCGCCTCAGCCAGGTTTGCCTCCGAAAGGTGGCGCGCCGGCAGCCCAGAAGTGGTAGAGATTGGGGGAGTCTTGGTAGAGTTTTGGTACAGTCCTGGGAGAGTGTGTGCAGCACCCTTGGGCAGACCGCCGAAAACTCACACGTAGACGCCCCTCAGGCCAGCTGGCCAAAGCGAATCGGTGCTGATTCGACGAGAGCCAAGGGCTTTGAAGTTGCGTAAGAATCCGATACGAGCCCATGTTGCTGCGGCTTTTGGCCATGAGTCTTTTGCAAGCGCGGCTTACATAGCCGGGACGCCAAGTAGCAGCGTGATTCATCCATCCTTCCTGAGCTGCAGGTTGGAAGAGCTAAAGCAATCAAAAGCTGAACTTGAGGCTCAGCTTGTGGAGGCACAGGGCTCCGATCCGAGTCTCACGTCGACCTGTACTGATTGCTGTACTTGACGGCTTCTGTGACCAGTCAAAGTTCCCTGCCGGCAGTGGCAAGAGAGTGCAAGGCATTGATATCACAACACAAGGCAAAAACAAACGAAAAAAAAAAATATCAGGGTACAAAAAAAACCATGACAGTTGCAAACGTCCATGGGGGTCCATGACGGTTGGAAACGTCCATGGGGGTCCATGACGGTTGGAGACGTCCATGGGGGTCCATGACGGTCGCAAACGTCCATGGGGGTCCATGACGGTTGGAAACGTCCATGGGGGTCCATGACGGTTGGAGACGTCCATGGGGGTCCATGACGGTTGGAGACGTCTATGGGAGTCCATGACGGTCGCAAACGTCCATGGGGGTCCATGACGGTTGGAAACGTCCATGGGGGTCCATGACGGTCGGAGACGTTCATGGGGGTCCATGACGGTTGCAAACGTTCATGGGGGTCCATGACGGTTGGAAACGTCCATGGGGGTCCATGACGGTCGCAAACGTCCATGGGGGTCCATGACGGTTGCAAACGTCCATGGGGGTCCATGACGGTTGGAAACGTCCATGGGGGTCCATGACGGTTGGAAACGTCCATGGGGGTCCATGACGGTTGGAAACGTCCATGGGGGTCCATGACGGTTGGAAACGTCCATGGGGGTCCATGACGGTTGGAGACGTCCATGGAAACGTCCATGGGGGTCCATGACAGTTGGAAACGTCCATGGGGGTCCATGACGGTTGGAAACGTCCATGGGGGTCCATGACGGTTGGAAACGTCCATGGTTTTTTCCGTACCCTTATAAACGTTAAATCAAACAGATGGATCACCCACAAGCACATCATGGTCTGCAATCAGAGTGACGCGATGTAGACTGACGTTTGTTGGACTTGAAGTGTGCCCGAACAATGTCGGAAGAAATCTGAAGACATGGGAAGCAAAAAGCATGCCGCTATTGGCAGCACTTTTTCTTCGCTATGTGTTAAAATATTCGTATTTCTGGTTTTCGGTCTGGCCAAAATTCAGAGGACAAGCTCAGAAAAAAAAGTCGACATGTGCTGCACATAGCATCCTTCTTCTGATTCTGGGGCAGACAAAGCACATCACTGCTAGTTGCTATTTACAGCACTTTTCTGAAATTGTATTTCCGCTTGTCGAAGTTTGACCTAGTGTTTATTAAATCAATGACGCGCATCGGCAAGGACAAGGCGAAAATGAACGGGAACCCTGTGTTCATCCTTGACTGTTCTTGCGGCATGTGAAACGATTCCCTGTACTGCTTGTGTGTTAGCCTGCGCAGGTCAAAAAGCAAAACAAGGACTTTCGAACTCAGCGGACAAAGGCGCATCCGACATCGTAGCCAAGCCGGGGCAGACCCAGGCAAGCTCCACAGTAAGAGGCCATCGGCAAGATGTATCTACGTGTATATAGCTCCAGCCAACCTAAGCCAGAAAAGTAAAGCAGTTTGTGCCAATCTGAGATCCTGAGCTTGAAGCGTCAGGCTCAGATGTGCTGGGGTAAAGTAGAGCGGCAGAGTGGCTCCTCATCCTAGATCAGACAGACTCCGATGATTAGCCTGGTCGTGAGTATGGGGCCCTGCATTTTAGTAAATGCTGGTTGCCTGGCAGGAAGTTGCGGTCCAGGCGGCAGCATTTTGAGTGTCCAAATGCTTCATCTTTGAGCTTGACCTCTCGACAGCCTGCAGCGGGACCTTCAAAGCCGGTAGGCTCAGTTCACTGGCAGGAGGCGCCGCCAGAAGCCGTGCATCGAGAGTCCCCCACCACCCTCATGGCAGCTACAGCGCCACGTCTGCTGCCAGAAGGCACATGGGGAGTTTGTGGCACAACGCGAAGAACTGCAAAGGATTTCCCCTGCTGCATCTGCCAGGCGTAAAATGCCGGTACGAGCCCACCTCGTGGGGGCCCATGTAGAGTGAGCAGTTCACTAACATGTGGGCTTTTCACGTGACAAGCTCTGCTTGCCTGTCTAGGTTATTTAAGGCCAGGATGCCAAAAGTTACTCTCACACAGGTTCGCCTCTGCACTGGCAGATTGCCTCGCCATGCCTCGCTCAGGTCAACGCAGTATCCCTTCTTGCCCGCAGTTATACAGGGGTTTAATGACCTCGACTGTGCAGTCCTCAGGTTCATGTCAACATCTGCCGCAGGTGGTGTGTCCATGTCCATCAAACCGTTGCTGAACCTACAGCCCGACAGCTTGACAAAGCCTCGACGCCAAGGTACATACAACTTGGATGTGCGGCCTCATGCGCAACCCTCGCGGATTGCCCCGGCGAAGGAGATCACGGCAGAGCAGGCCTAGTAGCTAAATTCTTCCAGGGTGTAACGCAGCGCCAACTTTGGATTTCGTCGCTTCCTGTCCAGGACTTGAGCGCGTAATGCTCTAGGTATTATCTCATTTATATCACAGCAACTTCAAGAGTTCAGTGGGGCGATATCGGTGCCACACTCTCATTCTCAAGGAACTTGAGCACAAGCTTAGAATCTATGACCGGGCTTGGGAGTGTTGTCAGACTTCTGTGGAGCTTGCTAAGAAGCCGCCCCCGTCCGCAGACCTGTAAGGAGGGACCTGCGGCGGAGGAACCCTTAATATAGCTTGTCATGTCATTGATTCGGCCGAACTCAGGGTAACTCATCAGGCCAAAGGCTACAAAGGTCGCTTTCACATTCAGCTTATGCCTGTTGTGATCCTGTGACAGACGGGTTTGCAACGGGCTTGATCTCGATTCGCTTCTTTTGAAACGTTCAGGCGTGGCCTCGAGGGACACTCGTGAACTACTTCAGTCAGCAGCGGGAGCAGCAGGCGCACCTTTGAAGCCTCTTTGAAGCCTGTGTCTTGCCGCAGTCTCATCTTGCGCCTGGAATCATGCATTGTCTGGTAGAGTCTTAGAGAGGTGCACCAGTAAAAGCGCAGCATCCGGAGTACGTGCTGTGATGATCAGGGAGCCGGACAGTCCTCCATGCCAGCTGTTGTGAAGTCGTTCAATGAGATGGTCAGACCCTTAGAGGATGTATGCGTGATGTTGTACTTCTTATTTTGGTTGTTCTCAGCGTACCAGCTTGCTCGGCCATGCTCGGCCCGAGGATCAGACCTACAATCTGGACATCCGCGATCACGCAGACTGTGACCGAATTCGAGTTCGCGTCATCCCGCGGCTCAGTGCCGAAGATGACTAGAGCAGACTAGGATTCATTATCATCATCCTGGTTCCCGTTCATGGCATGCCGAGAGACGCTGAATGCTGGCTCCACGTGTGCACAGCTCAGGAGGGAGGTGGCTGAAGCAGCTGACCCAGGGCTGACCTCGGCCATGATGAGGAACGATTCTGACACTCTTGTGACGACACCCTGACTCTGCAAGTATCCTGCCGTATCCTGAGAATGACCTGGCATGTAGCTGTAAAGCAACTACATGGTTAAAGCAGTGCGCTGTGGAACCTCGCATGTGCCGCGGTCTCTGTTTGGCTCGAGCACCCGCAGCCCCGCGACGTGTTCAGCCCTTTTGGACTGGTCACTCTGCTGAGCCTGAGCTCTCTGAGCTCTCCGGAGAATCGCCAGGGCCATGGCGACGAGCTGTTCAGAACAATGTTCAGCAATGTTCAGCATTGTCAGCGCAGCTTCAGTGTAGCATTCTGTGGCATCCCGTCGTCCGATGCGCTCAGGCAGAAGACGTTTGAGAAAGTTGCGATGCCGACCCCTTTGAATTTGGGTCGTCAGCGTCATTGCTGGGAACCAGATGGCGCCACATCATCGGCGGCAAGTTCCAGACAGGCGCTTAAGAAATAACTTTGCAATGCGCACCTGCTCATCAGGTGTTGGAAATATCGATCCTCATCAGTTTTGTTGGGAATGTCGACCTGCTTCCAGCAGGCAGAATCAGGTTCCATGCATTTTCATCGTAGGACTCCTCCAACAAAGCCTTGGGGCGATGCCTGGACTCATCTGCCTTTGCAACGCCCCGTCCTTAGAAAATCCAATAATGAAGCTCACAGTTCCATGGACGTATCGCGGGCTATCTTCCTTCGCATGTTGTGCCGCCAGCCACCGCATACGCATGAAGCGGCCCATACTGCAGGAACGATTCTGATTCTGACTTCGCGCACCTGGGCCTGATCCTCAGAACCCTACGGGTCACTGATATGTCCACCGTCCACTGGCACATTCGCATAGCTTGAGTGGATTTTGTTTCAGACTCGCTGCTTGTGCTTGTTTCCTGGTAGGTGAGCTTGCTCCCCCGCCGCCCCCGCTTTGAATCTCTAACAAACATCATTAGAGCATTAGCCAGCAATCGCTTGCAACTTGCACCAGGCCCTTGACATTCACGTAAATGAAACATGACGATTCACTGCTTCCAGTAGATTCCTTGCGTTTGGCTCATGGCCGCCGGCCGTGTGCGGCGACTGGTGGCACAGCTTGAAGCTTGCCCTGTTGCAGGCACTGTTGGGCATGGATTGCAGGGTGTGTTCGAGATTGTTCGAGATCCGGTCATCGGAGTGCACGCCATGTATACTGCCTGCCAGTGCAAGGAGATCTTCCGCCAGTCCTTTCCGGCAAGGCTGGCCGATCGTGGCAAAAACCCGTGTCAGCTTGATGTAGAGCAGCTGAGCCTCCCAGGTCGCTATCGTCACAGGTGCTTCGTCTGGTGTGGGTGCTGCGCTGTCGCATCGGCTAGCTGAGCGCGGCTGTGCCGTGGCCTGGCTCCCAGTCTCTGCTGCGGCAGGTCCGCAGTCTTCTGTCCTTGTGGATCACAAGATTACCACATTGCTAGCAGTTCGGTACTGAGGTCGTGAACTTCAGCAAGAGCGCAGAAGCTGCAGCCAAGGTGGCGGAGGAGAGGTCGAGCTGAACAGCTGTGTTCTAGCTGTAGCGTGACAGGCGTGACATACCTGACAGTGATGGCATGCTGAGTCATGATGCGTTCCAGGGGTGCGCAGCCACTGGTGCACAGGCAGGATGCAGATCAGTATGAGCGTTTGCATGGTCCATCACACCATCATGGTCCCCAACACAATGCTTGGGTGCACATATTGCAGGTGCTCCTGTGTCAGGCAGACGTTGCCACTGACGGTGGTTGTGAAAAACTTGTGGCGGAGACGGTCTGGAACATGGTGCTATATGAAGCGGTATACACATATACAGTGTGTATGTATGTATGTATGTATGTATGTATGTATGTATGTATGTATGTATGTATGTATGTATGTATGTATGTATGTATGTATGTATGTATGTATGTATGTATATATGTATATATGTATATATGTATATGTATATGTATATATATATATGTGTATACATATATATATATCTGTATATTCACATACGAAATAGCTCTGCACGAACATCGACATGCAGTGATATTGCCTTGGAGTCTCATGACAGCCGGGCACCCCAGGTGAAGAGGTTTGGGCGAGTTGATTTTTTGGTGACGCTTGGCTTGGCTCTGGAGTGCTCGTGGGGCACAGGCTTCCTTGTAGCAAGATTCTTGGTTGCGTTCTGGCTTTAAGGAACAATGCTGGGACGACCAAGTTTGTTCACCATGGCGACTTGGAGGGTCTAGCGTCAGCGGATTTCCGACGCATCTACGATCCTCTGCTCAGAGCATCTAAGAGCGGGGCTTGGGCTTTTAAAGTTTGGGATTAAGACGAATGTGACTAAGAACCTTATGAATCATGGAAGCTCGCAGCTTCCAGGATCTGAATGCAATTGGCGCGTTCAACATGATCCGGTTGTGCGCTCCACACATGCGGAAGGCCAGGACGTGCAGTTGATCAGTTGCGAGCCATTGCGACCAATCGTGAGAATGCTTAGACTTAGAATCGATTCGATTTCAGCAAGTCGGATGTGTCAGTGACTGTCCAGGCGGGAGGGGGCCGTATCGTCAATGTCTCCTCAGTCGCAGGGGCATACCACACTGCTTCTTAGATTCGCATATGGAGACGTGAGATGCTCAGCAGTGTGCAGCTAGGGCGACATTCGAGCCGAGGTTGGCAGCTCTGTGGCCTACTTGACGCACGTTCGCAAATGTTGTATATAAGAAATTCGTGACATCCATCTTAAGGGCTGATGGGAATAGTCTTTTCCGGAGACGGGCCCATGGGCCCGAAAGCTGGCTGATTCGGTGCATGTATGGATGCCCCTGAAGCTGTAGTTGACGCCCCAAGAACACCTTCCCATCTTTTTCCCCGTAATTCTTACAACTGCTCGTTATTAAAGAAGTCCTACTCGCATCTGCTCACATGTTTAACCGTCCGCTCTTCAGTCTTCACCAAAGGTTTTCAGAATCCCATCGTTACATTCACAGGCTTGAACCCAATAATCAGGGAGATATCCCATCAAAGGACCTTGAATGGCTAATGTCTTTACCTCAGAGAAAACGGGAGATGTTCCATCTCTGTCCATCTTCTCCATTTTCCATCTTCTCCATCTACTCGAGATCTAACCGAATGCCAGAAGATTTGAAGATCGATTTCTGCCGCTCTCTAGACGTAGAAGTGTGTCTTTCCACGAGTTCGTCTACTTGGATACTTGAAGTCTTCACGAGATTCGTACGAAGCTTAATTGGACCCTAAATGATGTCAGGATAGCTCACGCATTCTCGTCAACTGGAAAAGTCCCTCATGTGCTAGGAAATCAAGGTTGCGTTGTTCTTCTTCTTGTTGTTGTTGTTGTTGTTGTTGTTGTTGTTGTTGTCGTTCTTGTTGTTTTCCGGCAGGAAGGGGAGGACCAGGTGTCGGCCCTTTTTTGGGCAAGCCTCCTGGACGACATCGAGGTGGGGGCAGTCTGATCTAGTCCGGGATGGTTTCTTTGTTTTGTTCTTGTTGGTTCGGGAGGCTTCCGAGTCGACGGAACTCCCCGCCGTTTCCTCGGTTGTACTTGGCTCATTATCTTCTTGATATATTCTGTTATTCGTGATGCTGTTCTGAGGAAGTCCCGAGCGGCAGCGGGAACCAGCACGCTATTCGTTTGCAATATTTTTGTTGTTGGTCTTTAAGAAGGTATGGAGAAACGTGTGTTCTTCTTTTGTTTAGGTCGTCATTGACGTCTTTGATGTCGAGGAGTTCGCTGCGCCGTACTTGCACTGATGGTTTGTAACAGGGTTGCAATTTGTTTCTTTTGATTTTCAGGAGGAGGAGGAGGAGCATGCGGACGAGGCGGACTCGAGAGTCTTTCGGGTTCAGGTGAAGCGGGTGTGCGTTTCAGGCCAGCTTGCATGGTATTGTTCTTTTTTTGCTTCCAGGAGCCCGAGCCCGTCTTGGAGAACGACGTCCGTGGCTTATGCGATTGGTTCGTGGTGTTCTTCAAGAGTTTGCGCTGACATTGTTTTTAGGCCACGAGGAACGACAGGGCATTGGCGGCATCTCGTCTTTTTCAGCGTTTATTGTTTTTTTGGTTCGCGTCTTGGTTGTGCGCCTGTTTAGTTGTCCTGAAAACATGTTTTATGTGATGCTGTCTCCTGGTCCAAGGAGCATGTGGCGGAGGAGGAGCTGGGTCAGAGTCCCAGGAAGAGGAGCAGGCCATTGACCGTTTTTTTTCGTGCTTCTGGCCTTCGATGATTCTTGCCGTTGCCTTCCGTTTCTTGTTGTGGGCGTTTCGTCGGTGTGTTTTCTGGGGCAGGAGGGTGAACGACATAAGCCGTCTGCCTTGCGGCGACTGCACCTGGTGCGATTTTATCCGCATGAAAGGCTGGTCTGTTTGTTTCTTGCGCTTGTTCGCTTGCTTTGTTTTCCTGGTGTGGCACGGCAGGTGAGTACCAGCGCAGCGACCGGTGTTTGAGGCCTATGCCTCGAAATCGCGTCACGTTGCAGTTGCGAAATTCGCAACTTGCGGAGTGGCGCAAGGTTTCGGCTGAGGCCAAGGCAAGGGCCAAGGCCAAAGCCAAATTTTTCTTCCGGCGACCAAACCAAAGGGTTTGGGACACTGTCGCCCATCTGGGCCACTTGAGGCGTTTGCCTCGGTTCGAGGACGAGGAGGATGAGGATGATCATCAGGATCCGGACGCAAGGGGCTCCGGTGACTGAGTGATATATTCTTCATTTCTATCTGTTTATATAAACATACATTGATGTATATATATATATACAGATATATATAAATACCTCCTCCCTCATTTTCCCATTTTTTAAGGCTGCTGTAGCGCCATTTCAAGAGTTTTGCACGTGCATGTATTTTTTTCTTCAAAAATCTAATCTTGGGATTCCAGACATAGGTTGTGAGATGTTGGGTATTGTTGTGGACGATTATTCATGCACTAACGTTGAGCAATTTGAAGTGCTCATTTTGTTTAAAGGCGGCTTAAGCACCGTTTCACCTTTCAA